TCCTTGATGTCTCCTCTGGACTGCCTTTGTGGCCTGGGCAGCGCAGTTATGTCATGGTGGCCAGAACGGAATAAAGTACTCTAGATGAGGCCTGACATCTAGGGATCTAAACTCAACTGATTTAGCCCTTTTTTGTTGTTAGCTGGGTGTCTGACTTGTGGAAATCCATCACCATGCTTAAGAGTATCCAAACCAAACAGAGTTCTATGGCCCTTTCCTGCCTGATTACACACGACTCCCTTCCTCTGTTATCTGTAAGTTTTCAACAAACTTGCTATTTAACCAGAGGAATAGGAGGCCCAGTACAAACCCTTGATATCCCATTTTGATTCATAGTCTTATCTTCACCACAACATCGCACTCACCACAATGTCTGGTATGGTTTACTGCTTCAATTCTGTTCACTTTGCCAATGTGGTTGGTGCATTTTTATCTTCATTGAGCAACTGTGTGGCATTTCTATTATTAAATGGTACTTTTTTCAAGGGGCTGCGGCATGTCTCAGCACAGCTATTGCAAAAATAATAATAATGGAAGATGAGTGCACTCTGGTTTTAAACATCAATAAAATGGCTGTGCCCAGAGGAAATAACAGGGAAGTGATGATGAAATACTATGCTGGTATGTTAAGCAGAAATATCCTGTGTAAGCTGAGATCAGTGTGATTATTCTTTGTGTCTATTTATATTTTGGCTGCTGTACTACATTGCTTTCTGCAGAGTTTGGGGGATGCAAGTGTAGCATTATGAGTTGATGGAGTGCCAGACAGAGGCAATTTATGTTTCTTTAATGTTTGTAAATGCATAAGATCTCAAAGAGCTTCACAGTAGCTATCAAGTGTAGGAAAGCTTGGCAGCAATTTTGTGCACAGCAAAATCCTACAAATGGTGATAAGGGCATTAACCAATTTAGCTGCCAGATTGATGGCCAGGACATTGCACTATGTTGAATAGTTTGTACCCTCTGGAACTCCATCCTGAAGTCCCTCCGCCTCGCCCCCTTCCTTGCCTCTTTCAGTACCCATCTCAAGACCCTCTTCTTCGACCGCGCTTTCGATCACCCTGCTTCCCCAATCCCGACCCCCAGCTTGGGTCTGAAACACTGACTGTCCAGCAACTTGGGACATCCTCTTGACGTGAAAGGCACTATACAAATATAATTGTGTTGTTGTAGAGAGAATTGCTTCCTCTTGTTCCTTCTCCTGGGTTTCCATCATGGCACCACTCTTGATACCATCTTAAACTTGGACGCACTACAATGGGAGCTACTCTTGGAATTCAGCATTGCGTGGAAACCAAACTAGTAAATTGTGTCTGACTTGCCAGGCATTGCATTGAGAATCGTTATTGTGAATCATTGCATTACAGACCATGTATAAATGAATAGGCATTACATTTCAGGTCCTATATAAATTACTGGCTGTTGCGTCGAGGGTTGTGTATAAATTCCTGGCTGTGACATTGAGCTGCCAAATGCACACAGGAAGAATGATTATTTGGATGAGATATTGCAAGGTGCTTATTGAGCCTTACCCCTTTAGAAAACTTTCAGGGAAAAGAGCCGGATTTTTTTTAACGTATTGATTTATAAAGAAAAATCTGTGCTTTTATACCAACAGCATATAAACCCTGGAATTGCCAGATAATTATAACTGAAACAAATCTGCAAACATCACTAAGAACAACGCCAACAACAAATTGTATTTATATAGCACCTTTCCCATCAGGAGGATGTCCTAACGTGTTGATATGTCCCAAGGTATAACCCCTACCCTTCACCCCTCCTGATCCCAACCACCAGCTCGGGTGTGGATCCCGACTGTCCAGCAGCTTGGAATGTCCTCCTGACGTGAAAGGTGTTATACAAATGCAATTTGTTGATAACGTCATTGCTTTTAGACTATAATTATTAACCAGCAGTACTTTGTGAAGATGTTAATCTACTGTATGTTTTCTGAAATAAAAACAATTTGCTGGGAACTATTGGCAGGTCAGGCAGCATCAATGGAGAGAGGAAAGGGAGTTAATGTTTCAGTTCATCAACCTAAAACGTTATGGAAAATGTATGCTCCAGTTGCTTTCAATGCAATTTTAATTGGGACACAGGATTGATGGTCAGGTTGGGTAACTTTACCAAGCAACCAAAGCAGCTGAATGTTGGCAAACTCAACAAATCTTGAATCCAAAGTCCTTTTCGAGCCAAATAAAAATAAGAGGTCAGGGCAGTTTAAGAATAGGTGCAACAAATTGTATCTCTCGCTCTCTCGCGCACACTCTCTCTTCCTGCTAGGTATTTGAAGTTCTGCTCGGATACAAACATTTGATATTGTTACATCTGTGGAAAAGCTCAACTGGACCTGGTCTTGATCTCTTCCAATAGGTTAATGGCAAGTAAGTGAAGCGATCACTTTGACTTTTTAAAAAAAAACATGGAGATGCAATTCAGATCCACCATAAAGAACAGCATTTGGGGAACAATCTGTTCTGTACAAACAGCGTGCATGGAGTGCACAGCCACCTTATTGTGTTCCAGCCTGCTTCATGTCCCCTGCCCCACTAGTCTGGCTTTCAACCCATCTCCACCCATTCCCTAGGATAACATCCTGGAGTCGCTCCCACCCGCCCCCTTCCTCGCCTCGTACAAGATCCGTTTCAAGATCTTCCACTTTGACCACTCCTTTGGTCATCTTCCCTTCCCACCCGCAGCTTGGGTACCAAGCCAGGACTGTGAGGGACCTTGAGATGTACGCCCAATGCGAAAGGCACTATATTAATGCAAATTTGTATAATATGTGACATTTGAATTTGTTTCTGAGGAAAACAAAATGGTTCAAATCCCTTTTTTTCATAGAATCATAGAATGTTACGGCACAGAAGGAGGCCATTCGGCCCATTGAGTCTGTGCCGGCTCTTTGATAGAGCAAGTCACTTTCACTAACCCCAATCACCAGCTTTCTCCCCATAACCCTGCAAACCTGTCTTCCCCAGATACCTACCTTTGAGTTACTTGGTGCCCAGATTAGCAGTCATAGAAAACTCGCAACACTAAAGAAGCATTCACTTCCCCAGCCAAAGAATGAACCAGCCAAAGTTTCTACCAACTTGTGTTTCTTTCACATTTTGTATTGATATCGGTTTACCATGCTTTCAATATTGAATAGATTAATACAGTATTGGGTTGCTTTCTTTTATTAAAAAAATTGTGTGTTCATTTTGCTGTACTGACTCAGAACTGCTCCACAACACAACCCATTGACTTTAATGAAGTGCTTGAACTTAAAATAGACTGACAAGGAATCAAATATTTATAAAGGCACTGTTACTTCCCTGGGCTTCCTCTGTTTCTTTTTCAGTAAGACCATGATCTTTCTAAAACTTTTGTTTAGACTTAGCAATGTTGGAGACCGTTAACATTAGAAATTAGTGTGCTCGCCTTGCAACTGAGAGGACCTGAGTTTGATTTACGGGGCGGGGCAAAACCTCAGATAAGTTTCCTTACTCCACACGCCTCTGTTTACCTAGCAGTAAGTAGGAGCCTGGTTATTAAGTCGATTGTAGGATCACTTTCCATGGGTAATAAGCCCTCCAAAAAAAATGGTCACTCAATCCACCACTGTTTGTGGTCACTGCTGTGCGCAATTGGCTGCCATGTTTCACCCACACAATGTACAGTCTCACATTGTATATTTATATATTTATATATATTTATATATTCCAGGCAGGGCGAAACCTTGGGCAAGTTTCCTTACTCCACACGCCTAATAATAATCCCTTCAAAAACCAAAAACAATAATTAATTGGTCATTTTCAATCTACGACTGTTTGTGGACATTGCTGTGCGCAATTGGCTGCCGCGTTCGCCCACAAATATACAGTCAATTCACTTTGCAGTATGTTCTGTGAAGCGCTTTGGGACGTCCTCCCGACGTAAAAAGCGCTATATCAAATGCAAGGATTATTATTATTATTATATGGCGAGCAATAAGTCCACTAACACTCCTCCCCTTTTGGCTCCCAACTTGGCAAGTTGCTAGAGTACATGCACCTCCTAATCTGACATCCTATGCCTGAAGGTTAATGGTGTTTATTGTGCAGATGGTATTTGTTCACTGTTCTGGCAATGTATTCCTCGCTCATGTTTTTCTACAGACTGAATACATATTAAATTCAATGCATGTATAGGTTGGGATGTGTGCAATTGGCTGCCCCACAAAATCAATTTGAAGTCAATTCATGTTACAATATATTCTGTGAAATGCTTTGAGACATTTCATTGTGATGAGGCATTATATCAAATGCAAGTATTATTATTATGTAATCCTGTTGTATTATGTTTGTGGATGGAAAGGACGCAGAATAGGCTTGTATCAGATTTCATCGTATGGCTTACCAGTGATACATTTCAATAAATTTTTTATCACATTTAAAAAAAATCTTTTAAAAGATCTCTCCCATTGAAGATATCAGCGCATGAGAGCTAATTGGCACCAGTGTCTGAAGTAAAAGGAAATTGGTGAACACACCTTTTGCCTGCTGTAACACTAGGGCATCCATGAAAGAGGCAGGGAGGTGTATTTGTAGTTCTCCGTAAACATTGAATAAGAACTGTAAATTTCCACACATTGTACTTCATTCAGTCTGTGGCATCACCAGATGCCTGGCCATTTCTAAAGTGTGAAATGTCTGCTTTAAAAATGAAGAGAAAACTCGGTTCTGTTTTATTTCAGAATTGTATTTGTCTGAGATCTCTCTCTCTCACACAGTGTATTTAAATTTCTTCTTGCCGTTATCACAATGATAGTTAAGAGTCACAGGTGCAGCAGGCTTTTTCTGACCCAAATAAGTTTGTAACTTGAGTATGCATGGCATTTGACTGGTTGAAGGAGCTCTTTCTAAAAGGTTGCCGAATATGTTTATAGTTCCATTTCCCTGGAGGCAGTAACTATGTGAGTCATTGCCAAAGGTATTAACTAACTGAATAAACCTATTTCATTAATTTAGAAGGATCCAGAGTTGAGTGAGCAGAAAGAAAACTGCGGATGTGTGTTTGCTAACCATGATGTATTCCTTGCATAACACCTGCAGACGAACAATTGGAAAAATAAAATCAAGTGAGTATTTTATTGAAAAAAAATGATTTGCAAATTAATCATTGTGATGTGATATGGAATTGAAATATAATTTTCCCCCAACAAATTAATAGCATTAACTATTTTATTGGCATAAGTATTGCAAGAAGTAAATGTGTTACGTACTCCTGAACCATTCAAAGGTTTTGGAGACATCTGGTTAGTTCACTTTTTAAGGGTTCGATTCCCACCAGGGCAAAACCTTGGGTAAGTTTCCTTACTCCACATGCCTGATACTGATCCCTCAAGAAAAAAACCCAATAATAAATTGGTCACTTCAATCCATGAGCATTTTGCCCACAAATATGCAGTCAATTCACTTTACAGTATATTCTGTGAAAAGCTTTGAGACGTCTAGAAGATGTGAAAAAGCGCTATAACGAATGCAAGGATTAAGTGAGATATTACATTATGAAAAGCTCTGGTGTGTGTGAGAGAAAAATCCGCTCCTTGGTTGAAAAACTTCATACAATTTACAGTAATTGCTATCGAGTGTTTTGAGGAGTTTCAATGTGATAAAGTGCCACAAAAAGATTTTTGTGTATATTATATATTACATTCAACAAGAAAACAGTACAGTACGTCTTATGAGGAATGAGCGGAGGCCTGAAATGCTCACAATCTTAGCTTGAAAAACATTGTCTTAAGGTCAAGCAGATGCTTGGATAATTCTTAAATCAGTAAGCCTGGCTCAATTGGTAGCACTCTCTCTTTTGAATTAGAAGGCTGTGGGTTCAAGCCTCACATCGGGACTTTGACTCAGTCTGGGTTGACACTCCAGTGCAGTGCTGGGGATGCGCTTCTTTGTTGGAGGTGCCTTCCTTTCATCACTTGCTTCATGGCTATTGCTGTCCGCAAAATTGGTTGCTATGTTTGCCTACGAATGCAAACTCACTACACTTCCCAGTAAAATCCTGTGAAGTGCTTTTTGGAAGTCTCAACAACCATGTTAAGGTGCTGTATCAAACGCAAGGATTGTTCATTTTGAAAGGCATTTCTGTGTGTTTTCTTTTTACAAAGAACCACGGAAGACATGGCTTCCAAACTGAATATCTATTAAGAATTTTCCGAAAGGCTGCAAGTATAATTCATTTCAAATATATTGTAATTCATTGTGTAGCAACCCAGAGAGTCTCCTCTGGTATTCTGCTCAACAATTTCTCAATAAAACTCGTTATTCACTTCATCGCTGGTTGTGGGATGTTGCTATGCTCAAATTGTCTACTGCATTCATTTGTAATAACAGAGTCACAGGATCGGGGATAAATTTAGATTTCTATGGTGAATCCGCGACCAGACAGCCTTGCTACTGGAGGAGGGCGAGCTTCAGTTGGTGAAGATGGGAGCAAGTTTCCTTTCACCTTTATCCGGATTTTGTTTTGTAAAATAGAATGGCCCTGATATTGTTCTTCCTTTGGGATGTCCTCCTGACGTGAAGGTGCAATACAAATGCTTATTGTTGTTTTCGATTTCAAGATCCTCACCCTCGTATTCAAGTCCCTGCACCCCTCTGCCTCTCTGACCTCCTCTCTCCTCAAAACAGTACCCATTGCCTTTGTTCCTCCGGGTCTGGCCTCCTCCTCGTCCCCCGAGTCCTTCGCTCCACCCTCGGCGGCCGTGCCTTCAGCCACTATGCCCCGAGGCTCTGGAACTGCCTTCCTCACTCCCTTCGTCTCGCTCCCTCCCTTCCCATTTTCAGGTCTCTGCTGAAGACCTTTCTTTTCGACCGCACCTTTGGTCACCTTCCTCCCCCTCCCCCTGGCTCGGTCCCGGGATCCGTTACTGTAAAGCGCTCTGAGACGCTGTCCGGTGTGGGGGGGGGCGCTATATAAATCCTTGTTGTTATTCCTGGACTGAATAGACTGGGCAAGTGGATATTTCTATAGAGGAAAAAAAAGTGTTGAATGTGGGGGGCAGTGGAGGGGGAATAGGTCCATCACAATTTGCGCATTGATTAACCAAGCAAACTTCTAATTATGTTAATTAATCCGGTAGCGTATTGGTTATCGTGTTCGCTTCGCAAGTGAGAGTACCTGGGTTTGATTACCAGGCAGAGCGAAACCTTAGGCAAGTTTCTTTACTCCGCATGTCTCTGTTTACCTAGCAGTAACTTGAAACCCGGTTGTTAGTCAATTGGCGGATCGCTTTGCCGGGGGTAAGAATCCCTTCAAAAAAAATAAATAATATGGTCACTCAATCCACAGTTATTTGAGGGACACTGCTGTGTGCAATTGGCTGTCGCGTTTCACCCACAAAAGATACATCAATTCACTTCACAGTGTATTCTGTGAAACGCTCTGAGACATCTCGAAGATGTGATACGGAGCAAAATCAAATGCAAGGATTATTAGTAGGATTCTCACCCATACCTGTTAATTCTCAATATCAGAAAAGTGTAGTGAACACTCTTCCAGTCCTGTAGAGGGCACAAGTGTTTGCACTCCCTGCAAAACAGAGCATCTCCAAGGGCTTGCCCAGCATCCTTGTGCATTTAGGGACCCAGCACCTTTTGTCCAGACCTTGGGCTAGTTGCAGGAGACAATTTATAACACGGACGCCAGCTCTCTAATAATGAAACTCAACAGCCTGCTTGGGAAGTTCACCTTTAAATGTTACGAGCCCTATACTGACCCTGCCTGCTCGAAGGCCGGCCCTGGCGTAGACTGGTAAAATATCGCCGTAAGTGAACTTTAGCACTGGCTTTGTCTGGGATATAAAATGCTATTCATGCAAGAAAAACGCTAGGATTGCAGTGGGTGTGTGCAGCCTGGCTCAGTCATTCATTGACCGACCGACCTACTTGCCTATCATCCAGTCATTGGGACTCTACGTTCGCCTAAAACACAGTCACTACCCGTTCAGGTAAATCCTGCGAAGCGCTTTGAGATACCTCTCCAGTATGAAAAGCGCTATGTCATATTATAAGGAATGTTGTTATTTATTGCAAGTATCGGTCCCTGGGTAAGGGTGTGTGTGTGTGTGTGTCCGAGCTGAGGGGCAGGAAGATGGGTGCCAATGCTCTCAGTGTGTTTCAGGCTGAGCTGTGCTGCTCACAGGCAGTTCCTGAGATCGGGTCGGCTGGACTTGGTGGGGTAGAACAATCACTGGGAGCAGGAATTCTTCCCACTCAGCTCCGGTTAAGCTTGCAAGCCCAAACTAACCAACCAGTACAAGGGTTGGTTCCAGCTGGACGAGCAGCGGGAAGCTCGCAGACAGTGGAATTGAGTAAACGCATCTCTCCGGGGGAAGAATCCACACACTATTCTAGACGCAGGGAAATGTCCGTGTGTGGGTGGCATACATATGTGGACCTCTCAGTCTGGTTTGGTTACTCTAAGCATTGTTATGGTTTCCACATGTGTCGGATACCCAGTTGATTTAAAAAAAAATCGGTCAGGGCAGGGGGAGGCCATTCAGCTCACTGAGCCTGTTTCACCAGTTTATTAGACTTTGGCAGATCTTTTAATCCCAGTATCTCACCCCATTTGCCATACCAGAGTCCTGTAGCTCAGTGGTTGGAGCACTCGCCTCGCAAGCCACAGAACCTGGGTCCATTTCCTGGCAGAGCAAAACGTAGGCCAAGTTTCCTTACTCCACACACCTCTGTTTACCTAGCAGTAAATAGGAACCCAGTTGTTAGTCGATTGATGGATTGCTTTCCCGGGGATAATAATCCCTCCAAAAAAAAAAAAAAAAATTTGCTCACTGAATCCACGACTATTTATGGGACACTGCTGTGCGCATTTGGCTGCCGGGTTTCACCCACAAAACAGACATCTTGAAGACGTGATGATGCGCTATATCAAATACAAGGATTATTATTATTACTTGTACCCCTGCGACTCAAAGTATTTGTTTATCTCTCTCGTTGAAACATCCCTACTGATTCTGCCTCAATATTTTGTTGAGGAAGAACATTTCATAACTTCACAAACCTTTGCGTGAAGAATTGCTTCCTGACCTCAGGTCTAACTGTCTTTAGTTCTGATTTTAAGAGTATGCCCCCTTTTTAATAGATCCCTCTACCTGAAGGTTGTAGGTTCAACCGTGGAGACTTTGAGCTCAGTCTAGGCTGATACTCCAATACAGTGCTGAGGATCCATTACAGTGATTGAAGGTCCTATGGGTCAACCGTCAGATACCGTCAGGCAGTGGAACAGCCATCTAGGTACTTTTAAAAGAGTACAATAGAATCTTTTGAGTGTTAGTGGATCATGGGCACCTTTGACTAAATGCATTGTGCATCTCGATCACGCCCTCAGGGTGCCGCCTTGTATTTGTTAAATAAACTGGTGTCATGATTTTCTTTGTTTCTCTGTTGTTAGCTTTAACAAACGGGGTGCAGGGCGGAGGTAACCACTTTCAGTGACACCCTCGGGCGTTCATCCCTACCTGAGCTTGGCAGGTTATAGCATTGCATTAACAGTGGTGGTATACAATTCTGTGCTAAGCTGTGCCCATAGTCCAACTGCCATGAATGGGCCAAGGAAGGGCGAATGAGCTGGGGAGACATTTTGCTCCTCCTTGGCAAACTGGTCCTGGAAAACAAATATTGTGCAAACAAAATGGGTTTGATATCCATTTACAGTAAATCCATGTAGCGCTTTGGGCAGTGCAAAACATTGTGTTAGTTTCCTTACTCAACACACGCCTCAATTTACCTAGCAGTAATTAGGAACCTGGTTGTTATTCAATTGGCAGATCGCTTTTCCGGGGATAATAATCCCTCAAAAAACATAATAATAATTTGGTCACTCAATCCACGACTGTTTGTGGTACGCTGCTGTGTGCAATTGGCTGCCGTGTTTTGCCCACAAATATACAGTCAATTCACTTTACAGTATTTCCTGTGAAGAGCTTTGAAACATCTAGATGTGATAAGGTGCTATATCAAATGCAAGTATTATTATGTTTCGTCTTATTATTATTGACAATTCTCTAATTATGTTTTCTGAAGCTCTCTGTGACACTACTCTGCATAAGGGGTGCTATATAGATGCAAATTGTTTTTTTTCCTCATAAAGAATAAGGAAATTTAAAAAGGCACTTTTCTTCCCTTTCCTCTTTCAGGGATGGGAAACCTGAAGAAACGGCGTTGTATTAAGCTGCTGCTGCCAGGGTTTCTCCTCACTTCATTCTGCTTTTACTTAATGTACTTCAGAACCACCATTGACCACAGGTACTTTGTAGGTTTCTTTTCTTTCTTCCTCTTCCCACGCCCCCCATGTAATTCTTCTGAACAAAAAAAAACTTGCAACAGCACTCCAGCAGTCAGTCCTGCCAGCAACAGTGTGTTGAATGTGTGCGGATGCTAAGGACACAGGATCTGCATGTTAACACCCACCTACGATGCAATTTAATTTTTGACTTTAACAATGGTCGATGCAATGGCAATATCTCTGCCCTCTATGGGTGTCAGCCTGCCTCAGTTGATAGCACTCTCCCCTCTGTGTCTGAAGCTTGTGCGTTCAAAACCCCACGTCAGGACTTTGAACTCAGTCTGTGCTGGGAATGTGCTGCATTGTGGTCATAGTCACTAATGACATTCTGAACATCTGTGATCAGGGCTCCCTCTGCCTCCTTGTCCTCCTCGACCTCTCTGCCGCTTTCGACACTGTCGACCACTCCATCCTCATACACCGCCTCTCCGCTTTACTCAATCTTCACGGACCTGGCCTTACCTGGTTCAATTCCTATTGGGCAAGTTTCCTTACTCCACACAGAGCCTAATAATAATCCCTCCAAAAAAAACCAAAACAATAAGAAATTGGTAATTTTCAATCTACGACTGTTTGTGGGACATTGCTGTGCGCAACTGGCTGCCGCGTTCGCCCACAAATATACAGTCAATTCACTTTACAGTGTGTTCTGTGAAGCGCTTTGGGACGTCCTCCCGACGTGAAAAGCGCTATATCAAATGCAAGGATTATTATTATTATTATTATCTCTCTCACCGTCTCCACTTTGTTGCCTCTAACGGTTTCTTCTCCAGCCACCGCACTGTCACATCTGGCGTCCCTCAGGGCTCTGTCCTTGGCCCTCTCCTCTTTAATATCTACATGCTCCCCCTTGGTGACATCATCTGCAGACATGGGGGTCAACTTCCACATGTATGCGAATGACACTCAACTCCATCTTTCTGCCTCCACCCTCAACTCGAGGACCACTGGTGTCCTGACAGACTGGCTGTCGGACATCAAGTCCTGGATGAGGGTAAATTTCCTATAGTTCAATGTGAACAGACTGAGGCCCTCCTGATTGGCTCGCGCCAGCGCCTCTGCACCTCAAGCTCTGGCAGCATCAACCTCCATGGTTGCACACTACAACTCATCACGTCAGTCAGGAACCTGGGTGTCTTGTTTGACCCTCAACTGTCTTTTCTCCCCCACATTCAAGCCATGACCCGCTCTGCCTTCCCTCACCTCCGAAATATTGCCCGACTCCGCCACTACCTCACCCCTCAGGCCGCTGAAATTCTTGTTCATGCCTTCATCACCTCCAGGCTCAACTATGCCAATGACCTGCTTGTTGGCCTTCCTAACTCCTCCCTCCACAGGCTGCAGATAATCTAGAACTCTGCAGCCCGTGTTCTCTCCCGCACCGAACTTTGTGACCCCATCTCCCCACTCTCGCCCGACTTCCTATCCTTCAGAGGATCCAGTTCAAGGTCCTGGTCCTCACAAACAAAGCCCTCCATGGCCTCGCCCCACCCTACCTCTGCGCCTTCCTAACCCCCTACCAACCCGCCCGTTCCCTCCACTCAGCCGGCTCTGGCCTGCTCCACGTCCCCCAACCCACCCACCCCACCATTGGCGGAAGAGCCTTCAGCCACTCTGCCCCCAACCTCTGGAATTCCATACCCCAGTCACTCCGCCTTGCCCCTTGTTGCATTGTCAGAGGTGCCTTCCTTCAGATGAGATGCTAAATTGAGATCCTGCCTATCCAGATGTTTGTTAAATATCCCGTTGCACTATTTCAAAAGAGATGGGAGTTTCTCCCAGTGTCCTGGCCAACAATCCCTCAAATAAAATCAGTCACTCACTTACATTAGAATATACAGCACGGAAAAAGGCCATTTGGCCCAACTGGTCTATGCCGGTGTTTCTGCTCCACATGAGCCTCCTCCTGCCCTTCCTCAACTAAGTCTTCTAGCATAACCTTCTATTCCTTTCTCCCTCGTGTACCTATCTAGTTTTCCCTTAAATACATCTATACTATTTGCCTCAACAACTCCTTGTGGTAGCATGTTCCACATTCCCACTACTCTCTGTGTGAAGAAATTTCTTCTAACTTCCCTATTTGATCAATTTGTGACTGTTATATTGATGGCCTTTGTTTTGGTCTCCCCGACCAATGGAAACATCTTCCCTATGTCTACCCTATCAAAACCTTTCATCATTTTAAAGACCTCTATCAGGTCACCCCTTACCCTTTCAAGAGAAAAAAGTCCAAGCGTGTTCAGCCTTTCCTGATAGGTATAACTTCTCAGTTTATGGTTAATCATGGGATATTGCTATGTGCAAATTGGCTATCAGCACAGCAATGTCCCCCAAACAGCCATGAAGTGAAATATAGTGCACACACAAACGCATGTTTTTAAAAATATACTGTATTATAATTTTTAATTTTTATACATTGACTGTTTGTGTGGCATTGCTGTGTGTGATTGACTGCTGGATTTCATCTGAAAGATATAGTCAATTCACTCTACAGCATATTCTGTGAAGTGCTTTGAGACGTCTTGACAACGTGATAAGGCACTAAATCAAGATTTATTATTATGTATAATTCTACTCTCCTTTCTTTACTCCTTTTGACTTTCAGAAGTCCCAAACATCAAAGCCCATTCTTGTGCCTTTCTGACATCAGCCACAGCAAGGTGCCTGTTAATGAGAAGACAATATTAAAAATTCTGCCATTCAGCTCATTGACCGCTGGTACGTACATCTCTTTTGACAAGTGATCCCTGCTGGAGTTCTCTGGGCACTGAAAGGAAAAGCTTTGAGACTGAGATGGACACATTGGGGAATTTAGGTATTGCCAACGTCTCCCACAAAGACATGCTGCAGATGAACATCAAGAGCTGTTAAATAGAAGCCCTGGTAGAATTGTAGTGAGCGGAACATACCACGTGTATTGTTTGGTTAAGGATGCAATAGGGTGTAGAGCTTTCAAAATAGTGACCATAGGGTTTGGTCTGTGAGTAAAATTCATCAGCTCCAGTTCTGTTCATTCGCCCACAAAATATACAGTCAATTCACTTGACTGCAGCGCTTTGAATGTCTCAAAGACGTGAAAAGGCGCTATATCAAATGCAAGGATTATTGTAATGCCAAAAAGTGGCTTCTGCAAATTCTGTATGGGATTGAATCCCTTGGCTTGTTGGAGCTTTCTTAATGAGAAATGTCCTGTTGTCAAATAACTAAAACGAGCCTCGGAATGAGCCTTTGGAGGGCAATTAACATTGAAAACGGTTGCCAGGAAGAGTGGTTGAGTCCAGGATGCTGAGACTATAATATAAACAGCTTGATGCTGTGATGGGAGGGTGGGTGTTCTGGAAGGATAAGATCAGATGGGCTGCTTTTCCATCCAATCTGATCTTGTGACCTTCTTATAGAGGAACAACACTTGGATTTTGACCAACATCAAATACTTTATGCCAGTCCTATACTTTCATTTATTTTGCAGAAAGGTACTTCCGAGCAACACTAAACAATTTGAAAAGCTGCGAACTGCCAGCTTCAATCAACAAGTGGGTGAATTAAACCTTTTAGCGCAGAATATTGTAAGCGTGACTGCTATTAAGTTGAGGTGTTGAGGCCCCAATGGACTGCCACGGAGTAGATGGCATATAGAGATGTCAGGCCTGATCCTACACACGCTGAGTTGCTGATCCGTGGACAAAACAACGAGTACAAATTGGGTCATTCTCCAAGGGTGGTGGGGAGGGGTTGGGAGGAAGAGTTGTCTTTTATTGGGTGGTTTCACAGCAGTGGTAGAGATCTGGGAGAACATCAACTGTCCTCATGCCCAGAAGTGGGATATAGAGGAGGCACCAAAATAACAGGATGGGGAGAAGATGGAAGAGAAGAAAGAGTAACTTTTTAAACAGTCTTTTATTGTTGGGTTTAAAAGCAAAAGTTTCATTTGTTCAGCCATGTTGGACAAGTATAATGTTGACCTTTTCCAAGGGGGTGATGAGGAGCAAGACTGGTCTTGTGTTACCTTAACATTAAGGCAGAGCAGACAGTGAGTCTGAGTAGCTTTGTTTCTTAGTTGGATGTTTGAGCCACAGGTACAGGCTGAGTGAGAACATCTCAGTGGCCAGATCCCAGGCTGGCCAGCAAACAAATCGGCCATCTATCCTCGATAATGTGCAGAACTTGAGAAAAAAAAGGGAAAGGAAAGTTTTTTTTTAAAAAAACTTAAGAAAACTGAAAGGGAATGCAAGGACACTTCTAGGTAGCAACATCAGAGACCTGAAACTTCTCCTATTAGCCTCATTGACCATTGTCTTTAACATATATTTTAAGGATCATGCAGAACTTTGGAACAATCAGCCTCCAGTCTGAAGAAGTTTCTATTCAAGCTACTATTCTTCATTTTAGGAACTGTGGTTTAAACTGGGGTGACAAATAAAGAAGGAATTTAAGAATATTCTAAAATTCTGCACGGTCTTAAATTTTAAGATGATGGCCTTAAGATTTAAAAGCATGAGAGATTGCTGGTCTCTAGACTGCTGATGGGGGGTCAGTTTTTTTTAAATGCTACTAATCTCTGATAATTTGTGATTTCTAGTGTTTGACGCTTGCCACTTTGATTGACAGAGTACCCTGCCTGAAATGCATTGTTGTTGGCAACGGAGCAGTCCTCCAAAATAAGTCGTTAGGGAAACAAATCGACTCCTATGATGTCGTTATCAGGTAGTTTCCCTTTGGTTTCTTTTGTTTCAACTCAACTCTTACACCATGGAGGTTGTCAGCTCAGGGAAGCAAAGCATTAAATCACTGATTGTATATTTTAGAATCTTTATCAGAGAAAGAGCAGAATCGTATTACTCACTCGTGTCTGCTGGCAGCCCCTCTTTGTTGATGTGTGACTTTAGATGATGCTATGGGGCATTACTGCTACATCTAATCTTGTCGTTGTCCAGTTTGCCAACAAGTACACGGTCACTACACTTGTCAGCAAGTTACACAATGTCTGCTTATGGAGTTCTGTAGCTCAGTGGTTAGAGCACTCGCCTCTCAAGCGAGAGGACCCAGGTTTAATTCCCGGGCAGGGCAAACCCTTGGGGAAGTTTCCTTATTTCACATGCCTCTGTTTACCTAGCAGTAAGTAGGAACACAGTTGTTAGTCGATTGGTGGATCGCTTTCTGGTAGAAATAAACCCTTTTTAAATAAATAAGTTTTTTAAAAAAAGTTTGTCCACTCAATCCACGATTGTTTGAGGGACATTTTTGTATGCAATTGGCAGCCACGTTTCACCCACAAAATATACAGTGAATTCATTTTACAGTACATTCTATGAAGCACTTTAAGAGTTCTCAATAGATAAGGCGCTATATCATATGCAAGAATCATTATTATTATTATTTCACAACAGCACTTCAGGGATCTGAATGTTACTGATATAGCAATTTATAGCCCATCTTCCAGTTTGCTTTCTTTATTGTCTCAAACTGTATATTGACATGGTGAGCAATAAGTCCACTAACACTCCTCTGTCTTTTTCTTCTCCTCCTCTGGCAAGTTGCTGGAGTACATGCACCTCCTAATCTGACATCCTATGCTTGAAGGTTAATAGTGTTTATTGTCTAGATGGTATTTGTATCTGGCAATGTATTCCTGGTTCATGTTTTTATACAGATCAGAATACATGTTAAATTAACCTTCAGTGTGTGCACTCAGTGGAGTCCTGTAGCTCAATGGTTAGAGCACTCGCATTGCAAGCGAGAGACCTGAGTTCAATTCAAGGCAGGGCGAAACCTTGGGCAAGTTTCCTTAATCCACACGCCTAATAATAATCCCTCCAAAAAAAAAACAATAATAAATTGGTCATTTTCAATCTACGACTGTTTGTGGGACATTGCTGTGTGCAATTGGCTGCCGCGTTCGCCCACAAATATACAGTCAATTAATTTTACAGTGTGTTCTGTGAAGCGCTTTGGGACGTCTTCCCGACGTGAAAAGCGCTATATCAAATGTAAGGATTATTATTATTAATGTTACTGAAGTAGAAATATCAGATTTTTTTACAAAACTGCACCCAGCATACAGGCAGCTACAGTGAGCCATTCTGTCTGTAGCAGAATGTTACTATGGGATATTTTACATGGTGATCGTTTGGTTGATTTAGGGGAGTCCCAAGTTTCGGGTGGATTTTCCTTTCAACTTAGTGTGGTGCTCTTCATTTAATTGTTTTGTTTCTCTTTCATTCAGATTAAATAGTGGCCCTGTGATTGGGTACGAAAATGATGTTGGTAATAAGACCACGTTTCGACTGTGTTACCCGGAGTCGATCATTTCAGACCCCAGTCAATATGACGCCAACACCATCCTGGTCTTTGTTCCCTTCAAGCCACTGGACTTGCGGTGGTTGGTGGACGTTATCGTGAAGAATAAAGTGGTGAGTTTACGGGAACAGCAGGAAATTGACCACAGCAGAGATTTTGCTGCTGTCTGTGGGCCATTGCTGTGTGCAAATTAGCTGCTATGGCACCTACAAAATACACAGGCACTTATTTTATACATTTAGCCAGGACATAGTGTTGCCACACTTTGCAGTAGCTCATGTGAAGTGATTTGAAACATCCTCCCGACATGAAGGTCACTATGTCAGATGCAAAGTTTTATTTAGTTAAGGGACTCTCTCTCCTGGCTCCACAGGTCCTGTGGCCAATTATTTGCACACAAGATAATGGGAGCCAAGGATATTGTTAAGAGTCTGGAGGTCAAAGCCCATAGGAGTGGACATATCTTCCTCTTTTGAAATTGTACTTGAGAGCATTAAATACAAGTTGCCTCGTCTCTCTCTTCATCGTGGGTGTGTTGTTTAACACTTTGTCCACTGACAATCAACTCAAACTAATTGTACTCCTAGTACAACTTGTATTAATATGTTCTGGTTACTAATTTTTTTCCAGCAATTTTTGTTTTGGGAAGGTTTGGACATGTGCAAAGTTCTCAAAGATGGACGATTGAAAATTCCTTACCCTCCTTCATGTGAATGTCAAGAGTTCTCAAAGATAATAATATTAATCCTTGCATTTGATACAGTGCCTTATCATGTCTTCGAGACGTCTCAAAGCGCTTCACAGGATATACTGTAAAGTGAATTAACTCTGCATTTTGTAGATCTCAATATATGTTTGACTGCAGCAGTAAATTACTGCCTTTAACCACTTATTATATTTTTATTCCAGTCTGATCGAGGTTTCTGGAAAAAGCCACCTGCAAGTATAATTTACAGAAATAATCAGATAAGGATATTAAACCCATCGATTGTAAAACGAGCGGCTTTTGATTTACTAAAACTACCCATGGATATCCCCATTGAAAAGGTGAGTGGCTTAATCCATTTCTGTTCCTGTTTGGATTCAAAGTAGGGAGTGGGTGGTAGAGGGACTCCTCTCACTTTGGAAAGATGCACCTATGTAATCCAAGGCATACCAGAAGCAAACTTGATGGGCATATAGGCCTATTTGCGCCCCTTTCTGTCTAATGATTAAGCCATGCGAACCAAATCCGTCACAGGTAGGGTGGTCCCAGTTGGATAAATTGTACGTTACTCATTTCATTTATATGATCAGTCCTTCCAGTGCTTAGAGCAACAAATTAAGCATTTGAAACATTTTTCTGATATGAAAGACAATATGTAAATTTGTATTGGAAATTCACTGCATAAAGTGAGAGGGGGGGAAATCTTTTTCTTTAAAAAAACAAAAATCTAGTTTAGCTGGTTATCCTTAGTGTTCCATAACACAAGGTAGATATTGAGTTTGCAATCCCGTGGCCCTTTCAATTCCCCTTTAGTTTTATGAATTAAATGGCATTTTATAGGGCAGGTTATTATCGATACGATTGCTATGTGAGTGGCTTTTGATCTGTCCAGGTGACTGAAACTGTGCAGGTGTAATGCAATCTCTGTTACCTAGTCTCTGATGTCACTTAATTAAATGAGGTCCTTTGAGATGGACTTCCTTATATGAAAGGCAATACACAATATATAATAAATGATATGGTATTGTAGGATTGGTTTGAATGACGAAGAGGCTTTGGCTCTTTGATCTCATCTTTCCAGAATACCTATCCTACCATCTTCTTATCACAGTGTCAAGCTGTTTCTTAAGGAGTCCAGTAGGTCCACCCTTCCTGTTAACCTGTTTCTGTCATTAATTATCCTTTGGGTTAAAAAAAAGTCTCCTGGCATCTGTCCTGAAATTGCCCTGTGTAAGGAAGACTGGGTTTGCTGCTTATTCAGCGCTCTACAAAACAGTGATTGGATACATAGTGCTTGATCTCCAAGAATATTTTTGCCACCTTGCTTAAATCTTTTTTCCTGCATTTCCACTCCCCTATGAATGATTTTTTTTGTTGTACCTTTTTTATTCCCCCCATCGATCCCCTACAGCCACCTCAGTACCCAACAACTGGAATAATTGCGATATCGATGGCACTTACCATGTGCAATGAAGTTCATGTAGCAGGCTTCAAATACGACTTCATTAACATGAATAGCACGTTGCATTACTACAGCAATGATACCATGTCAAGCATGGGCAAGGTAAAGTCCACCGAGAAAACATAAGTGTACTTGTGGCTTTAAACAATGAATTTTGTTTGGAGCAAAAGAGGCTGGGTTCGTCACTGTGAGAATTATTCTGCATGCAAAAAATTTCTAGCTGAATCCAGTGTGCGTTTCTGTAGCTGTTAATGGATAAAGCAGTGGCCGTCTTTAAATGAGTCTTGAAGCTAGATACACGTATGGAATTCTTACAGATTGCCTACATGGAGCATTTTTTAAAAAACCTGTCAGTTCTTACTTGTTAGTTGACATAACAGGATAGAAATTTCACCTGGATCTAGATTTAATCTTAGCATTTCAGAACACCCCAAATTCAGCAAATTCTTAAACTCGGGCCCAATTTCTGAAGCTATTTTTTTCGAAGCTTGGAGAACTGGCTTCAAAGTTAAGACTGAGTTTAACAATTTACTAAATTCCTCAAACCCTGAAACACTGATTAGAAGAATGAGGCTTGATACTTTTTAGAGATTTTGGGGGTCAAAGTTTTGGGGAATGCAAAACAGTGTATTTGCTGGTAATTCATGGGTTAATAGCAAGGCCCACATTTTTAAGTGCAGTTTTGCTCACGAGAAATCTATTTACAGAGCTTGGGTTTGTAGCAATAGGAATAAAGCTGATCTGAGATGTATTTTAGTGAGTAAGATTTCTAAGGTTATTTGAATTATTGATTTAATTTTGATGTTGCATTTTCAGATGCTGTACCACAATATTAGTGCTGAACAAATCCTTTTGAAGCAGTTGAAATCCTCGAACACTGTGTTTGATTTAACTGGAAACTTCTGAACCGAGCCTTGCTGTTGGAATGTTTACGCACCCTGCCTTGTACCAAACCCCTCTGGTACTGTGAACTGCTGGCCACAGTACCCTGTGCTATCCAGATACTGCATTAACGTCAGGGAAACAAACCATTAGTTGTGCTTAGCACAGGAGACCTCATAAATACTTGTGTGAAATAGCTTATGCAAGTCTGAGCTACGTCCTAGGAATGGAATATGCTCCAGATGGTTGGGGGGGTCACTCAAACACTGTCTTAACACTGGTTGAAGAGATAGCCCTTATCATGGAGACTATTCTATAAATTTATATAATATTTTGTATATTATATATTTGATCGACTTAGATGTTCCTTTATTTACTATTTACTGTCACCAACAAATGGTTAGTTTGGATGAGTTCCGAAGTTATAAAAGAGCAGAGTGAATGAATATATGGATATATATAAATATTATATACACACACACCTACACACACGTATGCACTTGAATTCATAATGACAGGTAAGCTTCAAATCTGTATTTTTCACGTGACAGGAAGCTTGAATGAACAGGCAAAGGTTATTGACAGCTATTGTTTTGATGTTGACTTTGTTCTTTTGCGCCGGTGAAACCATGAATTGTTGAAGCCAGTTCCCCCGAAGGGGTAGCTTCAGCAGACTAATAAAAGAAGCTACGATCACACAAATTGTCATTTAAGCAATGATTTAGTTTCTCCGCTGGTGCTGGCTCCTTTTGCATGTGCTGAAGTGGCTCTCACTCTGCCGAAACTCTCGCTTTCACGTGGATGTTCTGCGACAATCGGATAAGCTACTTTTCACCACTCCTGGTGGAACATGTAGATGACTTATTTATCTGAGGTGGGTGAGGCTCAGGGCCTGGCATGCAGTGGGATCGGAAATCCAAGCCGGACAAATGAGATTTCCTCCCAGCACCGTGATGTACACTAACTGCAGTCCAATGCAATCTGCAACCGAAATGGAGTTCCCGAAATGGTCACCCTATAGTGAGGATTTGCCCTTAGCTTTCCTTGTGCTCCTGTCACTTCGGAGGATGCAGAGAGAGGAACCCTTGTGTTGCCATTACTGTGGATTTTGTTGTAAATCAATTATGAACAGCATGTTTTCCTGCTGATTTAGATTGTCGAGGGATCCTTTTGATCCATAAATGATTTGGGGGGAAAACATGTTATTTTAAAAAAAACATGATTAAAAGTTTATTTACTGATGGAAAAAATCCTGTGTCATGCTCAGGAAATTTTTGTTTTCTGTGAAACTTGACCAACCTTTTGCCCTCTTGGTCTCTCTCTTGTGAGGCTAGTGCTCTAACCACTGAGCTACAGGACTCAGCAAGATATGACCAAGTAAATCATTAGCAATTGTTGATTTAAAAGATTTTATGCACAGCACATTGATAATCTTATTTATTAACAGTAATCCTCTGTGCCCTATATTTTTACATGTGGGCAGTGACTGCATACCACATTCATAGTGAAGTCCTGTAGCTCAGTGGTGAGAGCACTCGTTTTGCAAACAAGAGACTTGAGTTCAATTCCAGGCAGGGCGAAACCTTGGGCAAGTTTCCTTACTCCACACGACTAATAATCCTCCAAAAAACCAAAAACAATAATAAATTGGTCATTTTCAATCTACGACTGTTTGTGGGACATTGCTGCGCGCAATTGGCTGCCGCGTTCGCCCACAAATATACAGTCAATTCACTTTACAGTGTGTTTCGTGAAGCGCTTTGGGACTTTCCCCCGACGTGAAAAGCGCTATATCAAATACAAGGATTATTATTATTTTATAGATTCATAGAATGTTACGGCACAGAAGGAGGCCATTCGGCCCATCGAGTCTGTGCCGGCTCTTTGAAAGAGCAAGTCACTTTCACTAACCCCAATCACCAGTTTTCTCCCCATAACCCTGCAAACCCGTCTTCCCCAGATACCTATCCAGTTCTCCCTTAAAAGCTGTTATCGAATCGGACTTCACTATCCTTTCAAGCAGATCGTTCCAACTTCGAACAACTCGCTGAGTGAAAAAATTTCTTCTAACCTCTCCTCTGCTTCTTTTGATAGATATATTAAGACTGTGACCATGGGTATGTAATTCACTCTGGCAATAGTTTCGTGTATTCTGTAGAGACAAAGTGTACACAATTATATTACCATAACTTTACTTGATGCTATTTTCTGTGAAGGATTGGTCCATTGAGATTATGTGTACTCATTCTGGCTACTAGGGCACTTTTCCAATTTGAACACAAAATGTCAGCCAGTCTTCCTATGCCAGATGTTGTATGCTACTACTTTGCCTTGATAATAATCCTTGCATTTGATATAATAATAATAATTCTTGCGTTTGAAATAATAATAAGCCTTGGATTTGATATCACGTTTTTGAGACGTCTCAAAGTGCTTCACAGAATATACTGTAAAGTGAATTGACTATATTTTGTGAGCAATTTACTTATCAAAAGGAAAACAAAAACTCCACTCAAAGGAATGTTAAGATTATCCCAACCATACTTTGATACTTTTTTAGTGCAAGAGATGTGTAATGACCACTGCACTGGTGCACAAAATTAGGAGTGTAAAGTTATTTTTTGCTAGATATTTATGACCTCTAAGTGAAATTTGGACAAGTCATGGATCGTTTTGTGTTGTATAGGACCAGCACGTCACTTGCATTCTTTATGGCCAACAGCGAAGAGCCTTGAATCCGAGCGGTCTGAATTGAAATCTAAATTAATTTTCATGAAACGAACTTGTCACCAGTGGCATTTAATAGTTACCAATTAAAACTAACGTGGTCTGTTACAAAGTGTTCTCCAATAATAAATAATTATAATCCTTGTATTTGATATAGCTCCTTATCACGTCTTCGAGACGTCTCAAAGCGTTTCACAGAATATAATGTAAAGCAAATTTTGTGATTGCATATTTTGTGGGCAAAATGGGTCTGCCTATTCCACCCAACGGTGTCCCAGAAACAGTCTTGGATTGAGTTACCAATTTTTTTCAAAGGAATTATTAACCCCAGAAAAGCGATCTGCCAATTGACCAATATGCTATCTTTACATCTAACTAGATTCTGATCACACAAGGGTGTGATGTAGGTTTGCGCTTTGTGATTTTCAACTTGAAATTTGCTTTTAATTTTGGTGATTTGCTTTTAAATCTCCCCCGTATTGATAGGACTTACAGTGCTCACACCGAGCTACTCATATTTTGAAAGGGCAGCAGATCCTGCAGATTCTAAATCATCCAACACTGAAGACAGCAAAACACGGAAGTAAGAACATGCCTTCATTTTTGGGATGGAATTATAGAAATTTACGAACTATTAACAGCCCGAAAGTGACACACTCCTTCCCCCAAACCATTTTTTAAAATAAATATTGTACAAATCTGTTAAGAACTTTGGGATGTCCTCCTGACGTGAAAGGTGCTGTACAAATGTAAGTCATTTTATGGGCTCTGCCTCAGTCAGACGTTTAAAGCACAATGTTTACATGATAAACTTGGGAATGATAAACATGATACATGATAAACATTGGAATTCAAAGATCTGCTAAGATCTAATAAATTAGTCGAACAGGATCATGAGAAGATTAGCCTTTTTTTATTCCTGATTTGTATTCCCACGACTATATTTGGGAACATACTAAGCTTCTCGGGGAGGAAGTAAGCAGAGTCTCCTTGGAGCTGGACTGGCTTTCAAGTGACATGCTTGGCAATGGAATATCAATAACACCAACAAAATTACGTTTGTGTAGCGCCTTTCGTGTCAGGAGGACGTCCCAAGGTGCTGGACAGATAGAGTTACAAAGGGTGGGTGCATAGTGACGGAAGACCCGCCCGCCAATAGTGGGGTGAGCAAGGCGGGGGACGTGAAGCAGGCTGGAGCCCACTGAGTGGAGGGATCGATCAGGATGTTAGGAGGTTGGAGATAGGGGGGAGAAAGACTGGAGGACCAGGAACTTGAACTGTATCCTCTGTGTGATGGGAAGCCAGTGGATATCAGAATTGTGCCAGCCCTGTGTGGTGGTCTCGGTAGTCCAGTTCCTGGACTCTTCCCACTCAGCTCCCACTCCTGTTAACCTTGCAAGCCAAAATCCTAAATGGTAGAGTGGTCCTAGCTGGACAAGCAGTGGGAAAACTTGCCAGGCAGTGCTCTCAATGGCAAGTTACGTAGTTTTAGCTAATAAGATTCCAACAGTGGTCACAACTTTGACTGTTCTATACTTGGTGCTGAAGGACTTATTATTTTCCCTCAGTTTTCAATTGTACTTTCTTCTGCTGTTAATTTCCCAACATCTTGCATCACTGCCAGCGGACTTACTCCAAGGCTCTGGCTATGCCACCTGGCAGGCCCAAGCCTGGGCTCTTGCCAACCTGGTCTAATACTCTCTGGAATTAGGTAAGTAGGATGCGTCCCTCCAGGTAGAGAGTACACATTCCATTCCAATAAACATCTCTGGAGTTTCCATATGTGGTTGGTGTTGGAATATAACACATAGAATGTTTTAAGACAGGAATGTTGATTGGGGGAACTAAGGGGAAGAACCCTTAGGCAGCATGGCATAACTACCCTAGCATTAAGCAAGCTAGGCAGCAGATCCAGGCAAGTGAAGCCATGCAGGGGCTATTACTGCTGACTGCTCCAAAACCCTTAGTATATGTTTTATTACACTGTATAAGCATTAAACTATCTGTTGTATGTATTATCCTGAACAATAAATTTCTATTACACCGTAATTGGATTGTTGGGTCATTATTCGGACCTCGGGATTGGAAATCCCAACAGTGGGATGCATGGAACTTTCCGTTTGGTTTGGGTACTCACAGTTTGGTTTGGCTACTCTTAAGCATGGTGATGGGTTTCCAATTGTGTTGGACTCTCGGCTGACCCCCACAAATTGGTAGGATGTGAAATGACTTACCTAACACCCCTTTGTATTTGAATGGATGTCAGATCTAGAGTGCTGTAAACTGGGCTATTTACTACCATTTAAAAAAAAACTTCAAAGTCACATTCTGCAAAATAAGGAACAGAGTTTCTCAAAATGGAGCTGAAAATAAGTGTTTAAATATTTAATACAATAATTTCCAATTCAGTACAAAATAACTTTGATAATACAGAACAAGCACTAATTACCAGGACAAAGAAAATGTTTGTTTACATTACATTCAGGGTGTTACTACAAATTGATCAAAAATGAAACATTTTATTAAAAAAAGATACAGTAATAGATGGGACATTTCTGCTTATTTGGGTGAGTTTTGCTCAATCACTGTGAAAATTTATATTTTACACTTAGCGCAGAAGTACTTATTATTTTCCCTCAGTTTTCTTCCACTGTTATTTCCCCAAAACTGTGCATTAATGCCAGAGGGCTTACTCCTAGGCTCTGGCTATGCCTCCTTGAGGGGTATGGATGATACCCATTATTTTTCTTGCTTTAAGGAAGGACGAGCCCATAAGGAAGCGCAAGCTTACTGTTCAGTCTTTTCCTGGATTGTAAAGTTGCATCTGACAACTTGCCACGTGCAGAAATATTAATGGCTTCTGTATATATATAGATATAAATATATATATAGAAGTTTCTTTATATATATATAGAGTTTCTATATATATATATATATATATAGAAACTTGCATCCATGACCCACTGTGTTAGAGCAATTAACGCACCGTGTCAGCACTATTATTCTTTAACAAAGACTTTATGAAAAATGTTATCGCCCGAAAATTCGCCAAATCGAATTGCCGTGCTGTAGCAAAACAATTGAAGTCCAAAAAGATGATACAAGTAGAAATATGCTATCACTGACTCACAAATGCAGTAAAGCACTTGTCAAACTAATGGAAATATTGCTTGAAACAAAACAAATACATTTTGTCATTGCTATTTTGTGAGTGTGTATTGCTGGACTAGCGGGAGGCGACAAAAGCACAAGAACATTTATATCGGTCGTCATCGCCATTTAAGTTTTGGTTAAAGTCATCCTTTTGAACAATTCAACGTTTTCTTCACATTTTACAGAACATTTAATTGGATTTGCAGTTTATGGCACAGAACTTGTGAAGTGAGACAGTCAAAATAGAAAAGGTTTGAACCAACATTGAAGTCAAAGTTTTTGAGATTTCTTTGTGAATTAGCAAATCAGTTCGAGCATTTTATTTTGATCAGTTAGACCACATGAAACATTTTCAGTTGAATTTTGATGTAGTCCTTCTAGTCATATACAAGTTTAGATAAATCAGTAGTAAAACAAATAAATTATAGTTGAAAAGGTTGGAAATGTTTTATTAGTAGTTACAAACTGCTTGATGTTATCAGAACTGTAGTCACGTAACTTCCACAGTCGTACTGGTTTCCGGTTATCTTGGACTAAGCACAGACTTACTTCTTATATTTTGGTAGCCTATTGAAATGCTTCAACTTGTTTCTTAAAATCCCCAACTTTGATATTTTCTTTTTGTTAACTACATGCTATCTTTAAGTAGATGTTGCATGATTTGGTGGCATGTGTCCCACATTTGCATTGCTCATGTTTAAATTGATAAGTTCCTCTTGGTTTTAATGTCTTTTTCAATGGTATTCTGCATTTCGTAACATTCATAGGTGAGGCTCTACTCTCTTACATCAGCTGAAGAATTGCTTGATCCAAAATGGTCAGGATCATTAGGTGGAGAGACTTATGGATTTTCAAGGGCATTTGTCTCATATGAACAGATAATATTGTATTGGATTACATTTTCAAGTGTTTGATTGAGCAAAGATTGGAAAAAAACAGGCTCTATTTTGCCTCTAAAAGAAAGGTTCAGGGCTTCACCTCAGAGATTAGCAAGAAACCTTGGTTATTGCACTGTTTGCATTTTCACCCGATTACAGGTCACTCATAAAACCGTTTTTGTTCAGTACCAAGCAGGCTGCTGCCAAAACTCTTATTTTAACAAAGTGCGTTGGGTCGTATTCCACTTATGAATATCATCTTCCATTTCTTTTCACCCATTGCAGGCAGAAAAGGCTTACTAATGCAATATTGTTAACGTACGCCTTGTTTCAGCAGCCTTTTGTGAATGTAGACTTATCGAGATGTAGGATAATGCTGGGAAATGGAACACTTCATCCTTACCACACCCAGTAACAGTATCAAGTACTCACAGGTGAGGCACAGTAACATATAATCCAGTGTTTCCCTACATTAATCTTTAAATCTACCACAATCCCAGCACCTCAGATTGCAATGGTAAAACGAATCCCAAACATTCTTTGTTTCGCAAATCATTACTGCTGGGAAACTGGATCGAGACTGCAAAACGTATATAAATGGGACCTTAAACCACCTTAAGAGCAAGGAGACAGTCATCTCATCTGTTTAAGATGGGCTTGGAACTTGGGTTTCAAAGTCTTGCATTGTATCACCCAACCCACTCCCCTAACATATTTATAGCGTGTGAAACAGACCTGGTCTATTCTTTCTTTTTATTTACCGTACAGTAGCCTTAAATCAAAGAAAGCCAGATAGTTAATTACCTACACATTGTCAGTCATTGCTTAAGTAGTGAAAATGTAGTTTTCATAAAGTAACACAAATCATCCTTTAAGCCTTAAGTGTGTACATTTTTACATTGGGTAAAGTAAAAATCCAGAGAAGGATGAATGCACGTATTGTCCTGAATATAGTCCTGCTGCTTGCTCAGATGGAAGCTGTATCCAAACCTGGTCTCCGTACATTAGCTTAAGGACTGAACTCCCAGATGCCTGGTCAAGGATCCCTTTCTTATATTCATCGTAAGTGTACATCTGTGGTTCATTGTTCAGATATAATGCAACCCAAACATTGGAACCTTTGCAATGAACATGGTAGGAAAAATAATAAATTCCAGGTATCTCGCAAGTGAAAATGCCAGTTTGTGGATGATAATTGTTCCTGCCGTTATACAAGATTTTATCAAACTTGACAGGTGACCCAACCGGAGGGAAAGGTATCGTGAGTTTAACGGTAAATGCGGGCATCTCTGGACTAAGTCCCATGTGTTTTCCTTTTTTACTTGGTTGACTAATAAATCCTTCTGGTGTCTTAATTCCATCGATCCCTGGCCCCATGTGAGGCAGTTGGAATTGCCTCGCATCAGGCATTACGGCTGGTAGGCCTGGAAGCCCAGGCAGCCCAGGGGGCCCGCGAAGGCCTGGTTTTCCATTGAGTCCCTCAGGGCCTGGTTTTCCTGTTGGCCCAACGTGTCCTGGAACTCCAGGTTTCCCTAAGCCTGGCAATCCCGGTAGGCCCGGCTGCCCCTTATCTCCTTTAAGTCCTGATGGACCTGGCGGCCCGATTGGCCCTCCTGGACCTGAAATGCCTGGTATTCCAATAGGACCTTGACGGCCTTGCTCCCCAGGAAGCCCAGGTATCCCTTTTAATCCCGGTAACCCCTGTACTCCAGGCAAACCCGGGGGGCCTTTAGGTCCTGCCATTCCCTTCGGTCCCATTGGCCCCTGAAACCCTCTTTGACCAGGTTGTCCTACTTTACCGTGAAATCCCGATGGGCCTGGCAATCCCCCTGGACCAGGTTCACCTTTTGGACCTTGGTGACCGTGAGGTCCAGCTGGCCCTTGTTCCCCTTTTATTCCCGGGAAACCTAAGCCGCCCGATGGCCCAATCGGCCCTGGAAGCCCTGGCACTCCGGGTTCACCTTGCAGACCAGGAATTCCGGGAGGACCTGAGGGCCCCTGTGGCCCTTGAATTCCTTGTGCTCCTGGAGGGCCCCCATGACCGCGATCGCCTTTTAAGCCTGGAATCCCTGGTTTTGCCATCCCCAGCATTCCAGGTGGGCCTGGGAAACCCGGAAGCCCTTTGTGACCTTTTTCCCCTGGAAATCCAGGTTGACCGGGAAGTCCATCCACCCCTGGCTTTCCCATGCCCGGCATTCCTGGGGGCCCCTGAGCGCCTATTGGCCCTGGCATTCCTTGGGCCCCTGGTTCCCCTGGGAATCCTGCCTTACCTGGCATTCCTGGTCCTCCTGGGAATCCATTTAATCCAGGCTTGGATACACCAGGCAATCCTGCAGGACCTTGTGCTCCTTGCTGTCCCGGTGGACCCTTTATCCCTGGGAGACCACGTATACCTATTCCTACATCTCCCTTAGGTCCTGGGAGACCAGGAAGACCTGGCAATCCTTTGTGTCCCGGCTCTCCCTTTGGAGCTGGTTTTCCTGGTAATCCTGCTCCTCCTGGTTTTCCAAATCCAGGAAGTCCCGGAGGGCCTGGTTGCCCTTGCAATCCCGATGGTCCCATGGGTCCTCTTTCTCCCTTTGGCCCCAGGTCACCTTTGTATCCTGGCATTCCAATTCCTCCCGGTTTCCCCGGAATTCCTGGCAACCCGGGCTTCCCAATACTTGGAAATCCTGGTTGACCTGGGAGACCCGGTTTTCCTGGTGGTCCCTGAATCCCCTGGCCTGGCATTCCTGGTGCTCCTGGCGGCCCCATTGGCCCTATTGGGCCAGGCTGTCCCGACGGTCCTTTCTCACCTCTCATTCCATTCGGAAAAGATGGCACCATTTCACCTGTAGCAAAATAAAGCAAATGAAAAGTCACGGTGTAATCTCATTTTCAATCTGCAGTGAATTCACTTTACAGTGTGTTCTGTGAAGCGCTTTGGGACGTCCTCCCAACGTGAAAAGCGCTATATCAAATGCAAGGATTATTATTATTATATTTCACCTTTTTTACATGTACGCACCAAAATCAGAGTATATCTGTAACCTGTCAGTGAGAACAGTAACTGGAGTGGGTTCCCGCCTGCTCAACACCTCCCGCTCTGCCCGTCCCACCACTGGTGGTCGGGTCTTCAGCCTCTCTTGCCCCCACCCTTTGGAACTCCAACCCACAGTCCTTTCCCCTCACTGCTTCCCTTGCCTCCTTCAAGGCCCACCTCAAGATCTTCCTCTTTGATCGGACCCGTACCCTCCCTGTCCTCCACCCCTCTTGATCTCAATCCCAAGCTCGGGTTCAAATCCCTCATTGTCCAGGGCTTTGCGACATCCTCCCGAGGTGAAAGCCGCTTTACAAATGTAATATGCTGTTGTTGTAACACCTGTAACCTGCTATTAAGCACTAGCACTGTAACCTATTAGTGAGCACAGAAACACCTGTAATCCGTTAGTGAGCACGGAAACCTGTAACCTGTTAATATGAATGAGGCAGGACTCTAACCTGATTGATTCAATCTCTGAAAGTATTGCTCACAAATAGAACTGAAGTTCACAAGCCCAGTATTAGATTTTTAGATCTCAGCAAGATCCAATCTCCTCATCAATGTAATAATAATCCTTGCATTTGATATAGCACTTTTCACATCTTCTAGACATCTCAAAGCACTTCACAGAATATACTGTAAAGTGAATTGACTGTATATTTTGTGGGCAAAACATGGCAGCCAATTGCGCACAGCAGTGTCCCACAAACAGTCGCGGATTGAGTGACCAAATTATTATTTTTTTTCTTGAGGGATTATTATCAGGTGTGTTGAGTAAGGAAACTTGTCCAAGATTTCGCCCTGCCTGGAATCAAACCCAGGTCTCTCGCTTGTGAGGTGAGTGCTCTAACCACTGAGCTACAGGACTAATAATGAAACCAGGGCTCTCGTTGCAATCTAACAGATCCATCATTGTAAAGACACCCGAGCAACTAAAGGGTGTCTGAAATCATAAATTGAAGTTATAAATTGCAGGCAACGGTAAGTGATTTTTTTTCAGTAAGATTCATGCTATACAATGGCTCCCTCTCCTGGTTCAATTTCTTAATGTCAAGCACTGGTAAATCTTGTATTAGATTGAGATTACAGTAAATTTCAACAATGTATAAAGGTCGTGTAGGTTGTTTTTTAATGTTTTTCTTGTTTTTCAGGGTTTTAAACTTTCTCCTACTTTAGCAGACTAAACCCAGACTTTACAACTCTCTATATATCAAATAAAACAATTATATTATTATAAAAGAGCCAAGAAGCTTTCTCCTTCTAAAGCACACAAGTGATTTAGGGCCAATGCTGGGGAGAGTGCAGAAAGCGCCTCCTTGTGTTCTCAGATAAGGTTGCTCAAAAGCACGAAGCCTAAATGTACAGTCAGACATTTCTATCTCACGCCATTTCTTGTTTTCATTTACATTAACTCAAAACATAGCAATTAAAAAAGGATCGACATTACGCAGATAATTTTTAGACTATTTCTATCGGCAAAGTATGGAGTATTTTTTTTTCGGGTGTCTGAATATGCGGAAGCCCATCACCAAGCTTAAGAGTATCCAAACCAAGCTGAGATTTCCATGCATCCCACCTACATATGGAGATTCCAGAGATAAATTGTTGGAATGGAATGAGCACTCTCTCCCTGGAGGGATGCATCCTGCTTACCTAATTCTGGAAAGTATTAAGCGCAGGTTGGCAAGAGCCAAGGCTTGGGGACCCCTGAGTGTGCGCTGGGGTACTGCTGGAGTCTAACCAGCTAAAAATGCATAATTTGCCATTGATATAGCTGTGTGGCGAGCTTTCCCGCTGCTTGTCCAGCTAGGAACACCCTACCCATTAGGGCTTTGGCTTGCAGGGTTAACAGCATTACATCTTGATTGATGTGGTTCTTAATTTACCTCCAATTTCTACCATGCTTCTTCACATTTTGCTGTGCCCCTTAATTTGGTATCCAAATTTTTTCATATAATTTCTTCTATATCCATATCCAAAGCATTGAAACTCATGGAGAACAAGTGAGGTATCAGAATTTTTGTTTGCTCAGTTGGGTGTCTGACACATGGAAACCCAACATTATGCTTAAGAGTATCCAAACCAGATAGAGTTCTATATATGTGTGCCATTTGAACGTGGAAATTTCCCCCTATCTGAAATGGAATGCGTACTCTCTCCCTGGAGGCACACAGCCTGCTTACTTAATTCCCACCAGAGAGGCAAGGCTTGGGAGAACCAGAGTACATATTGGGGTACTGGAGAAGGTTAAGCAGCTAAAACCGCATAGTTTGCCATTGAAAGCACCGCCAGGCAAGCTTTCCCACCACTTTGTCCAAATAGGACCATACTATCCATTACCCGCTCCCAGTCTACCCCTCCAAGTCTTGCTGGTCCTGAGAGAGCCCTGCCATATATCACTAGTTATGTCTTCTTACCCATTCCTCAGTGGTGTGTATAAGCTTTTATTAGCTACGTATCCATCCCAACCTAGAGTACACTATAGATGGTTTTATTTGACACTGGTGCCAAAAAAATACATTTCAATCAGATATTTTTAATAACTGTTTTAAAAATGCATCACATTCCTTCCCTGCTTAACACGCTCAGCAGGTATTTTGGACAAATACACTTCTGCGTTGTTGTTAAGTAAGGCATTGAAACATCTTGAAAGTTACACATTTCAACTCCTCATTGTGTGAGTCCATCGAATGTTTACTTAATAAAGTGCTTTCATGAACATATATCTGTCTTGTTTGAGTTTTGGCTCCATTTCTTCAATAAAGGCACAAACTGTCTGCGGAAAGTTTAACAGAAAGTCAAACTGTTTGATTTAGCATTTTCATTGACAACCCTGTTGTTTTTAATAACATGAAGGAAAAAGCCTACGCATTCATTTTCTTCCAATCCATCTCCATCTCTGCTGTCTCACTCAAGTGCTTGATCTGGTGCCTGCATTTGTTCTCAGTTGAGGTTATGTGATTGTACGTATTTTGTCTACTGTACGTCCCTATGTTATACATGTGTCCATCGTCTGGTTTAGCTTACTAACAACAACTTGCACTTATATAGCGCCCTCCACGCAGGTAGCATCTCAGAGCACTTACTAGGCTCCATGCTGACATGGCTGAACTCGGGCCATATACTGTGGTTGTTGTTTGGTATTCTGAAAAGGTATTCAGGATGAATATAGATCCAGGCCAGAAATCTCCGGGATTAGCAGGGCCAAGTACCTCTGTAACCAATTTTATAACAGAGGCTTGAGGCAAATTATCTGTTTGTCCTTAAGGAAGCAACTGCACAAAGCAGTCACTAAGACAACAACAACAATAACAACAAACTTACATTTAAAGCGAGCCTTTCTTGTCAGGAGGATGTCCCAAGGTGCTGGATGCTAAGATAAATTGGATGCTGGCATTTATTCAAGTGGTCTAGAACACAAAAGCAAGGAGACCTTTGCCAGGAGGTGCTTCTCCATTATAGAGAGTGATGGCCATACCTCATTTGAGTTTAGCGTTGTTGAGGTTGGACACCCAATCTTAAGAAGGATATACCAGCCTGGAGGGTGCCCAGTGATGATTGAATAGATTAGAACCCAGGCTGAAAGGGTGTAGCTATGTTGAAAGGTTGGGTACATTGGGGTTATATTCTTCCGATTAGCAGAGGTTAACATATTATTAACCCTAATAATGATGATGATGAAATGAATTGATAGGTTAGACAGCGGGTACCTCTTCCCTTTGGTAGATTTGGGGATCCAATACAAGTGGTGGGGGCGGGTGGGGGCCATAGCCTTAAAATCAGAAGCAAGACAGTGAATTGACCAACTGTGATCAGGAAGCATTTCTTAACACAGAGGCTTGTGAACATGCTGAATGCTCTGCCTAGAAAGCTATAGAGGTGGAATCAATAGGGATGTTTAAAAGAGAGGTAGATAGCCTCTGGGAGATATAAGGGGAATAGCAAAAGACCAGGGAATTGGGACTAAAAGGTCTGCCAAAACCCTGAATAAACCGGTGGGACAGGCTCGATGTACTGAATAGCCTCCTGTTTTCCTATGTTCCTATGACTCACCTCTGTTCAGTACATCTCTGGTTGGGCTGAGATCACTGTGTGGCAGTGGGAGGGGATAATGAGTGTGCAACCATGGCCTGCCAGCCATTTCATGCTGCAGTAAGACCTGTTGCTCCAACAAATCATTCATTGATTCCAATGTTCAGTGTCTGCTAATGCTGAAACAGTACTACAAGCCTCCTTGTGGTATTATATGGATGTGAAATAATAATGTGTGTCTGATGGTGGTGATAATCACTGCTCCTAAACCACATCACATCTTGTCTGAATCCTATTTTACTTTGTAGCTCCCAATATTCAAAATAGGGAGGTAGTGCTTAAATTCAGCCTTCACTGGCAAGTCAAGTCTTCTTAAGAACTGTGGAAAAAACAGCTTCTAAATTAAGAAAAATTAAGAATTCTACACTGCCTTAAACTATAAGACAAAATGGCCTTTCAGGCTAGGGCTATTGGACTGCGGAGCAGGAACTCTGGCTGATTTTTCACCTCTCTTTCTCCAGGATACTGAGGTTAATTGTATCACAGAATAGATTGAAGATTCAACTCACGACCTTTCTTGCCCCCAATATTTTCCCTAAGTCCATGTTGGAAATTGAATGGGCTACGAAAAATGAATGAACCAAATATTGCCATAATAATCCTTGCATTTGATATAGCGCATTATCACATCTTTGAGACGTCTCAAAGCTCTTCAAATACTGTAAAGTGAATTGACTGTATATTTTGTGAGTGAAACACGGCAGCCAATTGAGCACAGTAGTGTCCCACAAACAGTCGTGGAATGAGTGACCAATTTATTATTATAGCAATTATAACAATTATTATTATAACCATGGTAACAATTGTCACCACCTCCCACCCTTTGCAGTCCCCCTGGATTGCATTCCCAGGCAACTCTATTAAGTGTTTTGAGTCGTCCTCCAATGTGAAAGGAGCTTTATAAACTATATTGTAAATTGTTAGCAATAGGCAAGCACAATTATTAGCCACTGCGCAAGAAGCAGAAGTCAGGCCCATAGCAGAAGGCATATTTCGCCTACAAAGTATACAGTCAATTCACTTTACAGTATATTCTGTGAAGCGTTTTTAGACGTCTCGAAGACATGATAAGGCGCTACATCAAATGCAAGGATTATTATTATTATTATTCCTCAGCCCAAATATAGAATATTAGACTCTGGTACAACTTACCCTTTCCCTCCTTCATTGGCATCACATGTTTTCCAAGCATGTGCCTTTGAGGAATATCTTTTCCATACTGAGGAATGTGCGCCAGGTCCTTGCCATACACTGGCACGTATGACATGTCCTTGCCCATGTGCTGCATGTGAGGCATCTCCTTGCCCATCGGCCTCATGTGAGGCATCTGCCCGTGCATCTGCACCTGTGGGAACTGCGGAGGAACCTGCTTCATTTGATAGTAGGCACCAGCATGAATAGTGCTGACCAGAGACAGGTGGAGAATCACTGTCAGCAGCTGCATGGGGAACAGTGGCACAGCCATGACCTGGAAGCAAACAAACAAAACAAATCCATGCTTCAATCATTTACTTTCTAGTTGCAGACCCATTCCCCTCATCCCCACCATCCACACACATGCACACATTTCTCTAACCTCTGGAATTCCCTCCACTTCCCATTCAGTCTCACCCCCTCCGCCCTCTCTCTTCCTCTGTGTTTGTCCCTACGTGTGAAATGGATTGATGTGGAAACGATATTTTTCATGGCCTGAACATTTTTCCCTAGGTCAGCGTTGGAAATGAAAATTGAAATGCTCCGGAACACTACCCCACATGAAGGGTATTACATAAATGCAAGTCGTCGTTGTTGGTTGAATGGATTACGCAAAATGAATGAACCAAAAGTTATCTTGGTTACAATTACAGTAGAACCTCACTAATCCGGGTCACTCAAGGGACTGGGCAAAAGTGACCTACTTAGCTGATTACTGAAAGAGGTCGGGTGATTCAGGTCACTGATGTAATGTTAAGGACATTGGTAATGGACGAGGGTGATGAACATTCAACAACCATAGTTTGCAATCTCATTAAAATAAAGGCATTGTCACATTTAAAACAAAAGCTGTCATGTATCCAACCTTCCTTTTGAGAATGCGTCCAACCTGAGGTGTGCCAGTGCCATAGATCACAGCTATGACGTTTGCCCTCAGTGTTTTTGATTAAGTCCACTCTCCCACGTAAGGACAACGCCTTCCGTGGTGGCATGTTTACAGCACTTACCAACAGTCACTAAGTCAAAACAAACAATGGACACACAAACCATTTGCTCTGAATACAGCACTGACCAAGAATTGGCGGCAGAAGCTCAGGTTAGGCCGTGGACGCCAGGCGGAATGGAATCGATTTTCAGCTTGCGCCGCTTCCCCCCCAGATCTTTAAGTCCCCCCCCTCAAATCCTATCTTTTTGAACATGCCTATGGTCACCTCCCTCTTCCTTGCTCCGTGTCCAACCCAGTCCCTCGCGAGGAGCTCCGAGACATTCCCCTACATGAAGCGCGTTATATAAATGCAAGTTGTAATTGTTCCTTTCCCATCCCCTTGACGATCTCCTTCATGGAGTAGGGGTAAGACTAGGTAACGAACTTAATGATACGTAAAATGTACTGCATTACACTCGGCTGGGTAGAAAGTCCACCTGGGCCTAGATTTACTCTGTTTTATTAGCATTACAGAGGTTTCTTAAGTTTAGTAGTGGGAATCTTTCATTTAAAGTGTGGAGATAACACTTTAAGGAACACTATCACTTGATCAGTTGAGATTCTGGAAATCAATTGGAGTCCCGTCAGCAACAACAACAGCATTCACTGATAGAGTGTGAAAGAGTGATATAAAAGGACAATGGTAAATGGGCACAGGATGTGCTGCCACGATAACGTTTAAATCTGTATGAATTAGTGAATAAACTCAACTGCACACCAGCAGTGAGTACGTTACAACAAAAACACAACAAAATTATTTAAGAAAAAAACTTGTTTGCTTTGGGAATTTCCAGCTGACAGGAAATTGATCCAATGGAAAACGTGTGTCAAGTTGCTTAACAAGTGAATGCTGCATCTGATTTAGTGTGAGACATCTGTCCATAGTTTGTTTTGTCCTGTCACCTTACCATATGACTTTTATGAAGTGTTGTCACATCAAACCGTTTTATAAGCCTTAAAAATGCTTTGCCTGTGCTGAAGGCAAATGCAGCGCTGATTTTGTTTGCTTGCAGCAAGCCAAAGGTTGCTATTTCATTTGGCACACCACTAGTCCTAAAGGTTAAATAAGTAGACTGTGCTGCATTCAATATAGTAGGCCTGACCATCAAATGTTCCCTGATTTTCCTTTGGCGATCAGAGCTACTTTGAAAAGCCCATTCGTAAATTATTGCCAAATCAGTACAGAGGTCCAGATGCTGTTATAAACTGATTTTATCACAATGGACAAATTAAAAGAAGATTAAGGGCACCAAAACTCATAAGAAGTTATTCATGGGGAAAATGGGAATTGAGCCAAGAGATGCAGTAATTGTGTTCAATGACCAGCAATTGCATACATCAGTAAGTACATTTTATACATCATTAAGTTCATTGCACAATAACCAAAGACTATTAAACACTTGCCTTTTGAACCACAGTGACCTCAAATAAGTTTGATCTGTTCAAATACAGTTTTGAGATGCGTTTTATGTCACAGTGATGCCTGGGCAGAAGGGCTATGCAAAAGGGGCAACAATACCACTGTCCAACCCACTCCTTCGGGTCAGCAGAGTGGCTTTGTGTGTCACCACCTAGCGACTTGGGAAGACCTACACCCACAACAAAAGCTAGTGTGATTAGGTAATCATCATAATAATAATCCTTACATTTCATATAGTGTCTTTCAACATCAGGAGGACATCCCAAAGTGCTAAATATGATATACTACTGTAAAGTGCAGTCATTGTTTTGTGGCTGAATCCGGCAGCCAATTTGTGCGTAGCAATGTCCTGCGAACAGCCATGGAATGAATGACAAAAACAACTTGCATTTATATAGAGCCCTTCAAGTTTTGGAGCACTTGACCAAGTTAATTTTGGGAATTGTTGACCAGGACACCAGGAAAAACTCCCTTCTCTTTTTGTGACTACATGCACAGTTGCTTCAAATTTGCAGCCATTGCAAGGTCATTATCTGTCCAGCTGATTCTGAAGTAAAATAAAACCAAATACTCTCATACCACTCGATCGATTTCCTTTGCCAAATATCTGTCCATTACTTATCTGCTTAACTTAATTGGTAGCAGCTCCTTGGGAAACCTATTGCATATATTGCATTCACTACTCTCTTTGTGAAGTACAGTAATTAAATCTGTAGTGTCTGTTCACTTTCCCATTTCTCAGCATGGGTCCAAGTCTTCTGGTTCCAGATTCTTGAGGTTTTAGGTATGTGCTGCACTAAAGAGAAGCTTATGATCTGAAAGCTATTGACTCCTACTCTCACTGTTCCCTCAGACTTGAGCCCTCAAAGAAATTGGCTTAAAAACGTAACTCTTAAGGACACTAATTCATGCATTTGATACGGTGCTTTATCACCTTCATTGAAATATCTCAAAGTGCTTCACGGTACTTACTTTAGTGCACAGAAATGTTCATTACACCGGATAAGCGATCCGCCAATCGACTAACAACTAACAGGCATGAATTGAATGATAAATTTTATCTGGGGGATTGTTATAATGCTACTGCCTCAGAGAGTGACTTACTTGGGATACCCGAGGCACCAAATTCCTCACGGTTTTAGCCTTAAGCCATTCCGTCTTAAATGTTTTTTTCCTGCAGTTCTTAAAAAGAACTGGAAAAACAAGGCAGTTTAACATTTTGTTTTTCTTCAGCTGCTACAATTGCAGACAAAATAAAGCCTTAAAATTATTTAGTCTTCATAGAATCAAAGAATCTTACAGCACAGATTCGACCATCATTCCTGTGCCGGCTCTTACCCCATAAACCTGCAATTTTTTTCTTATCAAGTACCTATCCAATTCCCTTTTGAAAATTACTATAGAAATTGTGTCCACCTCCCTTTCAAGTATTGCATTCCAGATTGTAACAACTCTCTGGGTACAAAAAAATCTCCTCGTCTCTCCTCTGGTTCTTTTTCCAGTTATCTTAAATCTGTGCCTTCTGGTTACCAACCCACCCACCAGAGGAAACAGCTTTTCCTTATTTACTCTATTAAAATCCCTCATAACTTTGAACACCTCTATTAAATCTCCCCTCAACCTTCTATGCTCTCAGGAGAATTCTTCCTGTAAATCTGTAAATGGAAACTTGGATTTTTTTTGCCATAAATGAGCAGTACTGTCTTATAAATAAATCTACAGCAGTGTGTGGCATCGTTTCCTCATTGTTCCTCATGCCACATTTTTTGGAATGTGAAGATCCAAATGAAAGATCTGCCCGAATGCCAACTTATCCACTTGGCAGAATTATTATTTTTTCCTCTCATTTTCTCTCTTTCCTCTCGAGGCCACTGACTCATGTTTGCTTAGGGCACCACAGGGAACCAGTCACCATCTGCTACTTTCCCCAAATGGCCAATCTTCATGTGTGAGTCCGGGTCTAGACAGTGGCTGCTGGCAGGCTGTAAAGCCCCAGGTGGTGGGGTGGGTATCACAACCAAGCCTCATCCTGTCTTTGTTTGATATCTGCACACATGTATTCATTTCAATAGAGGATATCTGGGCAATGATCACAAACCTTGGCTGATGTCCCCACCACCTCTTGCGTGGGGAGATGGTTTGGGTGGAGTGTGTATAAAGAGTGAGGGCATTCCTCTTTGACCTTGCCTTCGGTCATCTTTCTCCTCCCACCCACCTTGGCTCCGACCCCCAAGCTTGGATGCCAAGCCAGGACTGTTAAGTGCTTGGGAGGTCCTCCCAACGTGAAAGGCTACATAAATGTAAATTTGTATTGTATTTTCGGCACACCCTACTTGTTTACTCATGGTCTAGCTGATATCATCTAACTCAGCTCAGAACCACAGGATGAGGGTTGAACCTTTAGGATATATATGGGTCTCAGTTGTACAATAGACAGAGATTCCAAACCAGGGTTGTCCAAAAAGAACTTTAATCCTAACTCCCAACATAGTGGCTGACCCTGTTTAATAGTTTAGGTGCAGACGTAGGCTTTTGCTAAGAGTTGCAACAGATGCTGTTAGCATTCCTCACAACCATAGTCTGGGTATTGGTGGAAAATCAATTACACACCTACACTTACAGGGAGAGCACCATGCCAGGATGTGAATCATTTTGAACATGTTTTTGTGGGACTTATCCTGGATTTCTCTTCAGCTGCCCCCTGTTGGGATTTCTCTGCATAGCAGCTTTGAGCCCAGTCTCCAAGAAAAGCTAGACCGTCTCGTCTGAAAGTCTGCTTGGCATAAATCAACTGGTCTCAAGCCCTCAGTAGGTAATATTTTCCCACAAAATATACAGTCAATAAAACAGTGTTTTGCCACAAAATATACAGTCAATTCACTTTACAGTATATTCTATGAAGCACTTTGAGACGTCTCGAAGATGTGATAAGGCGCTATATCAAATGCAAGGATTATTATTATTACCGTAGACTAAAAACCCAAGCATGAGAATTCCTTTGCCACTATGTGTGATGACTTTGAGGACATGTTCTTAGATTGGGAAAACCAGAGGAGTTTCACTCACAGGGGTAGAATTTGTGGTCATTTTAGCATTTATTGTGCCAATTAAGAAGTGTTTGATAACTACCAATAAGTGGAGGTAAGTGGAATTTATCTGTTAATTAAAAAAAAGATTTATTTTTTGGCATTGATCAGCTGAAGGGGAGAGAAATAAGGTCTTCTCCCTGTCCCTGAAATAACATTTAGCCTTAAACAAGGATTGATTTAAAAAGATTATCCGGACTGGTGTTTTTAGTCTTGCCAGGCTGCACTGGCTCCCAATTACCAAATGGATCGACTTCAAGATCTTTTCACTCGTTTTCAAATCCCTTCATACCCTCGCACCTCCCAACCTATCCGATTTGCTTACCCTCCCACACTCCACCACCAGCTGCCTCCACTCAGCCGGCTCCAGCCTCCTGTTCGTCCCTCGCCCCCTCCGCTCCACCATCAGCGTCTGTACTTTCAGCCACTATGCCCCAAAGCTATGGAACTTTCTCCCTCAATCCCTCTACCTTGCCCCCTCCCTCCCCACTTTCAAATTCCGCCTAAAGACATTATTTCTTGATTGTGCTTACGGTCACCTCCTCCCTCTTCCCCTGGCTCGGGGGTCAGACTCCGCCACTGTCAAGCACTCCGGTAAGCTACCCCGTGTGAAGGGCGCAAGATGGGGAAGGAAGGGGCAAGGTGGAGGGGTAGAGGAAGAGTGTTCCAGAGAAGACCAGGGACCACTAGAGCGGAGGTAGCAGATAGTGGGATGGGGGGTAAGCAGGTCAGAGAGGTAGTTAAAAACATGATGTTTGAAGCTTGTTTGAAGCTTTGGAAATTCCTCTAAATCTAAGGATGAGGCAACAATATAATAACCATTGCATTTTACATAGCATCTATAACATCCCAAAATATCAAATTGACTTGCAGATGATCCCAGCTGAGTGTAGTAACTGATTTTGTAAGCATATGTGCCAGCCGGTTCACACGCAGCAATAACCCACAAAGGATCTTTGGCCAGGACATGGGGAGAAACTCATCATGGAATCTTTAGCATCCACCTTAGAACAGGTGACAGGACCTCGGTACATCTGACAACGCAGAGCTCCCGACCCACCTCAGCACTGCATTGGAGTGTCTGCCAACTCCCCAGTAGAATCCACAACCTTCTGGCCCAGAGGTTTCAGTACTACCTACTGAGCCTGGCCGACACCTAAATAAAAAAAATCAGAGTTAGATGTATGTTCGTGGTAGAGTAAGGTCGAAAAGAATTGCTGAAAGATGTAAAGTTCCCCTGGAAAGCCAAAGGATTGTGTGGGTTTCAGACACAGCATATTTTCGCTCCTTTCTCGCAGACGGCATGCTCCCAGACCTCCTGTGATCAAACCACAAGCATTTCTGAAAATCTGCTCTTAAGTGCGTCAGTGAGCAATGTCTACACAGCCTCTTAATGAAAACGGCAACGCTGTCTTTTGTGGGGGGAGAGGGATGGAGGGTTCCTGCAAGATGACCCACCAGATGACCCACTGGTTGCAGTGTGTTATTGTTTATAATATCAAAAGGTGCGATTTGATAATATTAATTTGTTACTAAAAGAATACACTGTATCTTGTTTGGCAATTCTTTTCCCAACTTTCACCTCCTTCTAACGGCTCTGCTGCCATTTCCCGATGACTGTGCTCACGCCCGGTGTTAGACAAAGGAGAGCTTATATTTACTGGCTGTGAACTTACAGTGGGAGCTTGAAAAGCTATTTCTGCCTGAGTGTACTTCATGTCAAGCCTCCCTTATGTCATCCTCTGCTCATTATACAACATAAAATGCGAGGTTCATCATTAGTGCGGCTTTCACATTCGGAGGATGTCTCAACAACCACAACTTGCATTTATGTAGCACCCTTCATAAGGGGTAGCGTCTCGGAGAGCTTGTCTCAAAGCTCTTCACACTGTTGCCTGGGCACCTGAGCGGGGAGGGGGATTGGGATTCAGGTGAAGAGGGTAGGGAGGGGAAAGATGACTGAAAGAACGGACAAAGAGGTACGACTTGAGGCCGGCTTTGAATGTGGGTAGGAAGGGAAGCGAGTCAGAAGAACTCCGGGATGAAGTTAAGATTGTGGGCCGAATGGTTGAAAAAGTTTCTCAATCACCCACCTGAGTTATAGCTCAAACAAACTTTTGCCTACCAGATCTTGTATCCATTTAAAGATATTTCTTTTCAACTTGGATTATTTGTACTGATTAGGCTTAAGACCACTGTTTTAAGAATTTAAGATCCTGCAATACACATACACACACAGAAATGATCATTTAAACATTTATGGCTCGCAAAGCTAATTTATTACATAAAGTATCACACTGAATAAATCTTTTTTCATTACATCTGCATCGGGAAGTCTTAATTAAATTCACTTCCATTGCTGAAGATTCCAAGGCTGTTCAAACCAACAAACCTGCAGGTGGGAGTTTGCTCATCAGAGGGCACCTTTGAGTCATAGAATCATAGAATTATACAGCACCGAAGGAGGCCATTCGGCCCATTGTGTCTGTGCCGGCTCTTTGTAAAGAGCTATCCAAAACAATCCCGTTCTCTCCCCATAGCCCTGCAACCTTGTCCTCTTCAAATAATTATCTACTTCTCTCTTAAAAGTTGTTATCGAATCGGCTTCCACCATCCTTTCAGGCAATGCATTCCAGATCCAAACAACTCACTGTGTGAAAACATTTCTCCTCACCTTCCCTCTGTTTCTTTTAACAACTATTTTAAGTCGGTGTCCTCGGGTTACCAACCCACCTGCCAGTGGAAATCGTTTCTCCCTGTTCACCCTATTGAATCCCCTCATAATTTTGAAAACTTCTATTAAGTCTCCTCTTAACCTTCGCTGCTCCAAGGAGAATAATCCTAGCTTCTCTAGCCTCTCCTGATAAATGAAGTCCCTCATTCCTGGTACCATCCTGATAAATCTCCTTTGCACCCTCTCGAATGCCTTGATATCCTTCATAAAGTGTGGTGCCCAGAACTGAACACTGTACTCCAGCTGAGTGCTAACCAATACTTTATAAAGGTTCATCATAACATCCTGACTTTTGTATTTTATGCTCCTATTTATAAAGCCTAGTATCCCGTATTTTTTTTTAACAGCTTTATCTTCCTGTCCTGCCACCTTCAAAGATTTACTTATATGAAGCCCCAGGTCTCTCTGTTCCTTCGCCCTCTTTAAGATTCTACCATCTAGCTTATTCCTGCTTCCAAAATGCATCACTTTGCATTTTTCCGCATTAAACTTCATCTGCCACGTGTCTGCCCATTTTCCCAGTCTGTCTATGTCCAATTGCAGTCCGCTACTATTCTCCTCACTGTTTACTACTTTTCCTAGCTTAGTATCATCTGTGAAACTTGGAATTTGTACTCCCTATACCCAAGGCCAGGTCATTTATATAGATCAAAAACAGCAGCGGTACCAATACTGATCTCTGAGGGACACCATTGCACACTTTCCTCTGGTCAGAAAAACAACCATTCTCCACCACTCTCTGCATTCTGTCTCCCAGCCAGTTCTGTATCCATGCTGCCACTGTCCTTTGGACTTCTATTTTGCTTACAACATTCTTATGTTGCACTTTATCAAATGCCTTTTGAAAATCCATATAAACGACATCAACTGCACTACCTTCATCCACCCTATCCGTTACTTCATCAAAAAACTCTCTCAGGTTTTTTTGACATGATTTGTGACAAAGCCCGTTTTCATTTCAATGACTTGTCAAAATCAAATTGTACTTCAGGTGCTTGTGAGATTACACGGACCCCATCAGAGGAGAGATGGCGGTGAGATGGCTTCGATATCAACTACAGTAATTTGATTGAGACTTTTGGGGCTTTAAGTTCAATTGTTATTGAGATGATTGAGAGGAGATCTGACAGAGGTGTTTTAAAAAAGGGGTTCGACAAAGTGAACATAGATAGACAATTTCCTATTTGTTGAGTACATGACACGAGGGGTCCAAACATAAGAGAGCCACAAACAGATCTAAAAGAAAGTTTAGGAGTGACTGTTTTTAACACAGAGAGTGGTGAGAATGTGGAACTCACTGTCAGAAGATGCAGTTGAAGCAAAAAGCATCAACGGATTTAAGAGGAAACTCAACGTATACACGAGGGGGTCGGGTATGAGAAAGGTATGGGAGGGGGCTGGGGTGGGGGTGATGATTAGGATATGGGTAGAGAATCATGTGGAGTACAAACACCAGCATGAACTAGACTAGAGCTGTTTTATATAGGACTTTGGTGTATGAAGCCAGCCAGCTTCTCGCCTGTGGGAGGCTGCCGCGTTTCGCCCACAAACATAGTCAATTCACTTTACAGTCTATTCTGTGAAGCGCTTTGAGATGTTGAGAAGATGTGAAAAGCACTATATCAAATGCAAAGATTATCATATTATTATTATTAATATTATAACTGTTCCCACACAGACGTGAAAGACGTAGGAAGTACGGATATGCAGGGTGTACAGATTTCAGCTGGGGCAGAATCTGGCTACAATTGGTTAGACTAGGAAGAAACCAGCCCGGATTTTCCAATCGTGCAGCTTGAAACCTCTCATAGACTTAGTCCTAAAAAAACTGTTGTCTTAGAATTTAAGATTCTGGAAAAATCTTTAACTCAGTCGTAATTTGGAAGCACGTTTCCGAAGGCAGAAAATCAGCTTCCGAAACTGAGACTGAACTTAAAATCACGACTTCTTTTTTCCAAAATTCACATAATCTTATTTTGAAAACGGTTCTGAGGTTATGAGGAATACCTCGTCTCTGATCGCTATTAAGTCATCCACAAGATTGCACAATTACTCTGGATGAAGACGACGCTTTGGTCCATCCAATCATCTCCTTCCACAACACCCAATCTATCATTCCCCCCACCCCGTCCAGTCTCTGATGATAAACGTGTGTGTGTTCTTGGAGCATTTACCATTGGTGGGGAAAGGGGAGAGGTGACTAGGTACAGTCGAATAGGAAGATTTTCAGGTGTGATCTGAAGACTGGCAAGGAGGAAATTGAGGCAGAGTGTTCCATAGTTTGGGATTCGGGTGCTTGGGCAGATGAGGTACCAGAGGGTGCTGGGCGCCTGTTGAACTGTATGCCAATGCTTCAGGATGAAGATGGAGGCAGAAAACAAGACCATCTCCCCTAAGCAGAGGTCAGTGTATTTTCACTTTTACTCAGCCAGCTCAGAATTTCACAGCCCGGCGACACTTGGCTCTATAGTCACAGTTTCTGGATGAAAGAAGACTTGTCTATTAATTCTGGTGTTGTCCTTGCATTCCAGCCACCTCACTGCTGTGCTAGTGATACCCTCTGGTTCCCACCACAAGCATTGCAGAATCATAGGTCTCAAAGTGACCGTATTCCTAAACGCATTCTTTCCTTTTCAAAGCAAAATAATAATAATAATTAATTATTATTAATTTTAATAATATAATAATCCTTGCATTTGATAAAGTGCATTTGATAAAAGACTTGTGGCCAAACTACACAAGATTCACTACAAAGATTGTGTACATTGTAGGTGAACACGGCAGTCAATTTAGACGCAGCAGTGTTCCAATAAACTGGAGAGACCTTTTTCTGAACTCGCATTAAGGCAATGGAGGCCTTGCTGGGAATCGTTAGACACTTTGGAGAAGTTACCAGCAGAGAACAAAGGCAGTGAGACAATAAAACAGTCGGTCTGATGTTCTTCCAAGTGTGCAGTGCACTCCTGAATCAGCCCCGACTTCACCACTTGTTCTTTAATCCGAAAAGGGTTTAGGACTGGCTAGGGAGTTGAAGCGGCTTTATCAAGATTCAAGTTGAATCCCACGAGCCTTCAAAATGTTAGCGATTTCCAAAATTAATGAAATCATCATTACCATGTTGTCTGAAATCAAATCCAGAACAAACATTTCCACTGCAAATTCCATGCTACGGAAGCTGCCAACACTGTCTACTTCTGAACAGGCACAGTTTGGCACTTCCACTGTCTAGAGATGGGTATCCAACAACTGTACAATTCAATGCGGTTTTTTTACATAACGGAGGCTCTAGACATTGTGGCTGAGCACGACCCAATTGTCTGATTTGCAGCCAAATTAAATAAGCACCTCTGTGGCGTGCGGGAGGCACGTATGTTGGATGTGTGGTGCATGGCAAAGGTTTCATAGGTCTGGCTGGCAATATAATAACAATCCTTGCATTTGATATTGGTTGTTGATGTCTCACAGTGCTTCACAGGATTTTACTGCAAAGTGTAGTGACTGTGCATTTGGTAGGCAAATGCAGTAGCCAATTTGTGCAAAACCGCATCTCACAAAGAGCCTTGAAATGAATGTCCAAAACAGATACGTCAGGCAGGAAGATAAAAGCCAGCAGAGTAGTTTAGTCTGGGAGTTGGAGGAGTGAGTTGGTGAATAGGAAACTGTGTTTGGAGATCGAGCTAAACTGAATAAGATTGAAAAGACTGACTTGCAATTTGTGTCCGTTTTGAGATTATTTATGTCATGCACCGTTGTGGAGATTATTCAAGAGTTGGCAGTATGAGGTTCTTTTTGGCGAAATGAATAAGTTGACTGTGATTTTCATTGTTAATGAGAGTTTTTTTGATATCTGTTACATCTGTCCTAACAGATGACACAGCCACTTGGGAGTGTCTTTGTATTTAAGTAAAGCTACTCTTGGTCTAATGCAAGTTGATTGCTTAAAAAAAAACAACCTTTTAGTGATCATCCTAAATTACACCCCATTTATTTGAAGCACATGGAGATGTTTTGACCTAAATAGAGAATGAGGCTAGAATAAATAGTTCCAGGGGTGGGGGGAACTAACCACAGCACATGGGATCAATATCTATTGAATCTATAAAGTTGCTACTGGAAGTAGAATAATTATTTATTTTGAGAGCTGTGTCTACAGAAGGGGATAGCTGCTGGTAGGTGTGTGCTTTATCTGTTCAGGAGGTCATCCAGCCCATGATGTCTGTGTTGTTGCTAATCCCATTCTCTGACCTAGTGAAACCATCTCAAAGTGCTTTGCACAATACAACATGATTTAGAATATCAGTTGAATCTCAAGCTGCTATTTGTAGGAATCAAAGAACACTTATGCATGGCGTACTAGACTGTAACCTGGCTTTTCCAATATGTTTGTTATCTAATGCACCATGACAGAGGAAAGTGTAGCAGAGATTTTTTTATTGTTTGACGTTACCTCTTGTTTTGTATAGCTGAATCCTCAAACTGACAACTAGTTTGCCAAGAAGTTGTGCGGTTGGATCAGGATTATACAAATAAGTTAAAAAATTCTACTTGGCAAATTTCTGAACCACAGCCTAAGAGCTGTGTTCCTGAGCAATTTAGTCTCAGTAAAAGCAAGACAGATGTATTGTAATGATCGGCTTTTAAAATGCTCTGTTGCGTGCAAATGGAGTTTGCCAGTAGATTAACGGTCTTCAGCAGGCTTCAGTCTGTGCATACTCAAAGCAGTGAATCCAAGGGGGTTATTTCTCATCATGTTGATACGTTTTACTCCCTTTAGCAAGAGAATGAACTTGTACTTTTGCTGGTGGCCCTGGACCTGAAGCCATTTCTTTGTCAACTTGGCTTAGTCGGTAGCAGGTTCGCCTCAAAACCAGAAGGTTGTGGGTTCAAACCCATATTACATCTTTGACCTCGGGCTAGCCAATGCAGTACTGGGGAAATGCTGCATTGTTGGAACTGCTGTCTTTCACTGATAGGATATCAAACTGATGTTCTGTCTGCCTTTTCAGGTGAATGCTAAAAATTCCATGGGACTATTTGAAACGAGAAGGGAATTTCTCCTGGTACCCAAGTTAATGTTCCCCGAGATTATTTTAAAACATCATTCACTTCATGGCAATTTATGGGCCATTTCTATGCATACATTGGCTGTTGCATTCAACCACAAATACAACCTCTACAGTAGATCTTGTGAAGTGCTTTGAGATGTCCTCCTGACCATCTAAGGTGTTGCATTGGTGTATTTTATTACATTATTACTGATGTTTGAAGCGGTCTTAATTCCAGCACATTTACTATTGAGCTCAAGGCTAATTCTAGTCTGATAATCTGCTGCTTGTTTTGTTTGAAGTAAGAACTTGGGAATTTCTGTTCATATTATAGTACAGCAACATTTAGCCCAGTGTTTTGCCCACAAAATATACAGTCAATTCACTTTCCAATATATTCTGTGAAGCGCTTTAATACATCTTGAAGACGTGATAAAGTGCTATATAAAATGCAAGGATTATTATTATCACTTTGCAAATTCTGAGCTTTGCTCCCGGGAAAACTCACGTGTAATCTGTCTGTGTACATCAAACCTCTTGCACCCTCCTGTCACCAGTTGTTTACCCAAGTCAAGTTATTTTCATGTTTAATTTGGAACAGTCAGTGTTGGCAACTTGTTTGACCTGGGGCAGGAACGCTACGATCTAGCCATATCCAAATACTTGGGTTTCAAGGGCTTTTAAGAGGATCCCATAAGTACTTTTGACAAATGTGTGGTTAAGATTCTCACCACAGATGCCGAACAACAGAACATAAACACAATGGCTTAGCCATTAAAATGACATTAAAATTAGGCTGAGCCATTGTGTGGAGTCTGTAACTTAGTGGTTAGAGCACTCGGCTCACAAGCAGAGGATCCGGGTTCGATTCCCTGGCAGGGCGAAACCTCAGGCAAGTTTCCTTACTCCACGGGCCTCTGTTTACCAAGTAGTAAGTAGGAACCCGGTTGCTAGTTGATACCAGATCACTTACTGAGGGTAATAATCATTTTTTTAAAAAAAGAATAAAATTAATTTAATCAATTCATGACTGTTTGTGGGACACTGCTGTGTGCAATTGGCTGCCGCATTACCCCTACAAAATATACAGTCATCCACTTTACAATATATTCTGTGAAGCGCTTTGAGACATCTCAACCATGTGATAAGGCGCTATATCAAATGCAAAGGTTATTAATAATTATTGTAATAATAATGGCTCAGCCTGGCATTAAAATCTAGCCATTCTTTCACTTCCAAATCGTGGACATTTCATGCTGTGCTACAGAGTCAACCTCAAAGGTCTTCTGGCCAACAGCCTCGGCTTTCGTCTGCACTGCTCCATTATTGGTGCATACCATGTGCACGTATGTGCCTATTCATTCCATCACTCTGTTGATATTTTCCAAAGGAATGTCGCATCTGCTGGTTTGATGTGAATGGGACCATTCAGATCAAACTTTCCCCTGTGTCAGATTCTGTGTCAGCATAATATCTATGACACTGGCCCGTGAGCAAGACTGACATGTCCATAAACATTTCTAAACTGAACACTAGCCTGACTGGACTGTAAACCAGAGGAAGTGCGAGACACGTAGGTTATGTGGTGCATTCAATCACCACCACAATGGCAGAACCAACTGTTTGGTCTAAAATGCTGCCAACACACCACTGTCTCAGCACTCTGAGATGTTATTCTGCATGAAGTGCACTATATAGATGCAAGTTGTTGTTGCACTGAAAAAAAAGGCATCCTGTTTTAATTATTATAAAAAGTTAATATAATAATCTTTGCAATTGATCTAGTGCCTCATCACATTGTCCAGATGCATCAAAGCACTTCACAGGATATACTATTAAGTGGATTTGACTGTGTACCTCGTGAGCAAAACATGGCAGCCTGTTTAATTTGGGGTGGATTGTTTGCCAGGAGAAACTCCCTTCTCTTTTTTTTCCGAATAGTGTCATGGGTTCTTTAACATCCACCTGAACAGGCAGATGGAACCGTGGTTTAACGTCTCATCGAAAGGTCAGCGTCTCTGACAATTCAACCGCCCCCCACCGCCCAGCACCATATTGGAATATCAGCTTAGACTATGTGATTCTAAGTCCCAACATGGGGCTTGAACCCATAATCTTCTGACTCCGAGGCGAGAGTTCTATCACTGCGCCAGGCTGGCTCGTGTTGTTTAAATGATGATACGACAACAGCTTGCATTTATATAGCACCCTTCACGTGGGGTAGCGTCCCATAGCGCTTAAACAAGGCTGGCATAGTTCACATGAAGCTTTAATTTTGCTTTACAATGATGCCACAGTTTATAAGGTGAAGGCTTTGGGGGGTGGGGTGGGAGTGAAATCAAAGGTAAAGTTACAACACTAGATTTGCTTACAATTGCATCTTGCATTTTTGACCACTGTACATTAATTCCTGAGTTTGAACATTATGTATTTGTAAAAGTGAAGGATCCCTGGAGAACTCGGGCCATTGTTAGATTACAATTTGACAGCTGTAATAACTAATACTCGGGTTTTGAGTAATTCAACATCCTGCCCAGTTTTATAACTGGCTTTGTAAGAGTCAAATAGAAAGCTTTGTAAATACCATTGATTAAAAACAGCTTGTTTCACAGACAGTTGCTGAAAGCTAAACGTCTCCAGCAGCATTGAATATTTGGTCCAATATCCTGTCTTTGTTAAAAAAGGGAATAGGAGCAAAAATCTGCTTGAGTGTTTAATATCCAAACTGTCAATGCTCGCCCTGTTGAGGTAACGTATTGTATGCTGTGACTCTATGAAGAATAGTCCTATCTTAATATACCTCCTTAGAGCACCTTTTACTGGTCAAGATACAGTACTTTACAAATTTGATTCGCCTGTCCAAATGGACTCCTTGAAGACTTTGCTAATGTTTCTCCATCTCATCCAAGAACTGAGTATAAGCTATTATGATTTTTTGGGGGGACGGGGAGAATGTGGATGGGAAAAATTACAGTTCTGTGTGGTTCAGTCGATAGCAAGTTTACCTTTGGGTTCAAGCTTCTTGTCTAGTCTTGAGATGATGATCGAACTTGACATCCCAGGTCAGTACTGAGGGAGGGCTGTATTGGCAAAGATGCTATCATTTGGATGGAACTTTGAAAGTTTTCATCTGCTTCTTCAAAAAACATCCCACAAGAAAAATAAGTTTCTACTGGAGTCATGGCTAAGAATCCTTCAAATACATTAGACATTTCACCAATGGCTGCTGGGTTTGCAAACAACAGTCAATACTGGACAGTGAAAAACTAGAGAAGTGATTTGAGATTTCGCTATGTGATTTTTGGTGCTCATAGATTTTTTTCTTAGTTAACTATTTGAAATGCTTTTCTTTAAGCTGGAAAATAACTCAAAATTAACTTGAAGTTTGTATCAGTCTTTAACATCATTCACAACACATTACAGAGTCCTTTTAAAAGAACTGAATGTGCTTTTGGTAGCAAAAAAAATAATAATCCTTGCATTTGATATATCATCTTTCACATCAGAAAGACAACTCGGGCCATAAGCGCTCTAAGCGCTTTATACTTTAAAGTGTAGTGACTGTCTATTTTGGAGCCGAACAAATGAATAATACAAAGGTGACCATATCGCCTCACTGAGTATTGACCGGCTATATGCAACTTAGTATCAATTCCTATAGGTGTATATTGTGCTTGCTAAGTTGTACCATAGATCCTGATCCAGTGGACAACTACATAATGAGAGCAACGCATTATTCAGCCACTCTTTCATAGTGTTTTGTTTTCTTATTTGAAATTGATGGTGAACCAAATTCATCAAAGACTGCACCTCACCAAAAGGAGCAAAATGGACCAGTTTAACAGCAGACTTTAACAATAAACTTTTACTGAATTCAACCAGAAAGGAGAAGCAAATGTTTAACGCGGGGAAGTGGAGGGAAAAGGGTATCTAAAGAAATGTGCGAATCGTTCAACAGCAACTTGTATTTATATAGTGCCCCTCATGCAGGGTAACGTTCCAGAGATACATACTGGATCCAGGACTTTAATTTCATTGCAGTAAACTGCTTATCCACTTGCATTGCAATTGTTTCTGATCTGAGCAACATAAAATCCTAACCCAGGGAGCAAGTGTTGTTCCCTCATCCAATGATGTAATTCTTGATTCATAATGCACTAAGTCAAACCATCTCCAACCGAAACCCTAGGTAAGTTTCTTTACTCCACACATCTCTGTTTGCCGAGCAGTAAGTGGGAACCTAGTTAATAATAATAATAATCCTCGCATTTGATATAGCGCTTTTCACGTCGGGAGGACGTCCCAAAGCGCTTCACAGAACACACTGTAAAGTGAATTGACTGTATATTTGTGGGCGAACGCGGCAGCCAATTGCGCACAGCAATGTCCCACAAACAGTCTTAGATTGAAAATGACCAATTTATTATTGGTTTTTTTGGGGTTTTTTTGGAGGGATTATTATTAGGCTCTGTGTGGAGTAAGGAAACTTGCCCAAGGTTTCGCCCTCTGCCTGGAATTGAACTCAGGTCTCTCACTTGCAAAGCGAGTGCTCTAACCACTGAGCTACAGGACTCCACATTGTCGATTGGCAGATCTCTTTCAGGGAATAATAATCCCTCCTCCTCCTCCACCCACCCCCCAAAAAAATTTGGTCACTCAATGCACAACTGTTTGTGGGACACTGCTGTGCGAATTGGTTGCTGTGTTTCTCCCACAAAATAAAAATATTCAGTTTACAGTATATTCTATGAAGCGACTGGTAAGGCACTATATCATATGCAAGGATTATTATTATCTCCATATTTTATTTTACTGTTACCATTCCGCTTAATTTCTCTTACACAGAAGATGTGTCATTGTTACAGATCTTTTGTTGGTTTGGATTAGTTTGGATGACTGACTGGATGATTCAATGAATCACAGTGCAAACATTTCAAAATTGGTTATTGCTATTTCCAATTTATGCAAATCCTGACCCCCAAGGAGAATCCTGATCCAAACGTAACATTTTTGGCAAACAAGCTAAGCATTATTAGTGCTCAGCTGAAGGAAACTGGTGAGTGTTATCTTTAAATGTCATTCCAAATGTCTCATAATAGAATGAGTTCTGGACACATAGAAGCTGGTGCAACACATGAGTCCCCTTCCCTATTTTTACCCTTTTATTTCTCTCTCTCTCTCTCGTATGCAAGGAAACTGAAAATGATAGCAAATAATCCTGACTGTGTTAAAGCTGAAATATCCACTTGAACAGATCGGGAAAATTACAGTGAGGCACAAGACTGACTGGGAGAAATTCCACCTGAGTCTAAAGGTGCATTAATTTCTTAGCAATTCAAAGAGTGGAGAATTTCACAAACTTTTAAATGTAGACTTGATTTTAAGCCAGTTGTTTCGTGAGGGTTTCTTTATGAACAATAGAAAAGCAGGTACAAATTGAGGAATGATTTTAAGAATTTGTGAGATCCAACACTCTCTGAAATGCTAAGAAATTAGTGTAAATTCAACCAAGGTGGAATTTCTTCCCACACCTCACCCCACCCTCAATCCTTTGCAGGTCTCAATACTGTTTTCTTTTTAACATTACTAGTTTTCCAGAGTCTGACCAGTCATCAGAAGCAACTGGTAATGTGCAACGCTGACTCGAACTGGCAAGATCCAAAGATTATAGGAATTCTCCCAGTCAGTCTTGCATCTCCTTGTAATCCACTTGATCTGTTCACGTGGAAGAATCTCGAAGTGCTTTACAGGATGCACTGCAAAATGGTATGACTGTGTGTTTTGGGGGGCAAACTCTGCTCTCTGTATCTCCAGACTCAATCTCTAATTATAATGGGTATTCTAACCTCTTGAAAGGTAATGTTGTTCAATTTCATCCCCAATCCATTTGTTTTGTAAGAGGAGAATCATCTTCAACTTAATTAGCAAAGTCGAGTCTGAAGAACTTTAAAGCTTCTCGGAAAAAGCCAGCACTGCAGGTGCAAAGTGTAAAGGAAACTACATTTATACGGGGGCGGGGGGGGGAGAGAGAGAAGTGTTTTCAATGTAACACCCTGGTTTATGGAGGTTTAGGCTTCAGATTAAATTTTTACTTCCAGCCAGGATGTCCTGTTTATGAGTTTATCTATCTTTGGCCTGTGGCCAAGGTTTGTCCAGGAGAAGTGATTTCAGCTTGTGCAATTGTATGGTTGTTTTTGTCGACATGTCCTGTTTGAGATTTGCTGTTGGGTTAGCAGAGAACCAAGGAAATGCAGCTCCTATATCAGGCTGACCTTTCGCTTCCAAACGCTAGGGGCACAGATACCAATGTTGAAGTAACAACTGCTTCTCTGGCTGAGGTGACTTAACTGGGTTTTAAACATGTGACCTTCTGGCCTACTTGACCCAATGTAAAAATGTTAAAGAGCAACTGTACATATTCAGAACAGTAAAACAGGGGAGTGATTTGTCAAATGTACAAGCGGCACAATAAATCTAAATTATATAGCACATTCTCCATCTTGGAGTGACATGTAGCTCGGTTCTTTTTGTTGTCTTCTTGTTTGGACAGGTTTGTCAAACACTGAGCCTCTCTTTCCAATCCCAGAGCATTGGGAGACTTTGCAAAGGGTTCCTTGTGTTCCAAGATAACTAACATATATCATCGTCACAGACACGGATTTTTTTTATATATAGATTTTTTTAAAGTTGGCTCATAGTGACTTCCCCCCCCACCGGCCCCACTCTGAAAACTCACTTGGCCGTGTTCTTATACGTGGATTAAAACTCTGTGTTCAAACATCTGTTGGAGATGTAGAAATATATCGACCACAAATCTACGAGGTGCACAGAAAACTGTCACCACTGCACACAACCCTCGACGATGGATTTTAAGTGCTTCTCCGACTGAATGGAATTCATGGGCCGACCACTTGGGTTAAAGCGGTCTTCATGTTGCAACGGACAGTTTTATAAACACTGCTTTATTAAGGGTGCTTGTGAATTTTTTTTTGCAGTGGTAAAACACATTTAACTTCTTAAAAATGTGTGAATTTCTTTAGAATGGACAATAATTGAATGTGATGTGTATTAATCACAATAGCCTGCAATTTAGATGGTGCTGTTCATGGACACCTAAACTTTGACCTGTTTTTCCAATGCCATATCATTCTCCGTAAAATGTCTTAGCCTGTAAGGCCATTTTGTCTTCAAGATTTAAGTTCGCACAGAATTGTGTAAAATCTTTAACAATTTCTGGTCTTCAAAAAGTAGAGAACATAGGATATTGGAAAAGGTGTTGACCATCAAACCTGGGGAGACTCCAAAACCCAGTCACAGCCTGAAATGAATTCCAGAGGGTTCACTTGGATTGTTTATATACTTCAACAGTGTTGACTAAAATAAAGTCACCTCTTTGTGAAAATCTGTGGCTCCATTGGTCCTGAGAAATCTCTTATCTGTGTTTCAGCACATTATTAAATAAAAGGCTATTTTCGCAGAGTCCAAATAAATCCCAGTATTGCTTTCTAGTCCTGTTTAAATTTAATTTTCTCCTATTTTCTTGCTACTCTACATTTTTTCTCCTAATAATCCTTACATTTGCTATTGCGATAAAGCTGAGAAAGTCTCAATGTGTTTCGCAAATAATAATAATAATAATCCTTGCATTTGATATAGCACTTTTCACGTCGGGAGGATGTCCCAAAGCGCTTCACAGAACACACTGTAAAGTGAATTGACTGTATATTTGTGGGCGAACGCAGCAGCCAATTGCGCTCAGCAATGTCCCACAAACAGTCGGTGGATTGAAAATGACCAATTTATTATTGTTTTTTGGAGGGATTATTATTAGGCTCTGTGTGGAGTAAGGAAACTTGCCCAAGGTTTCGCCCTGACCTGCCTGGAATTGAACTCAGGTCTCTCGCTTGCCAAGCGAGTGCTCTAACCACTGAGCTACAGGACTCCACAAATCTTCGGTCAGGAAAAGCTGTTGTATTTGTAAGCAACTACTGCAGCCAAGTTACGCTCAACAATATTCCACAAAAAGCCATGAAGTTAATAACCAATTGTAGCAGGACAGTGGCAGACCATCCTTTCTCTTTCCAAACTGTGCCACCCAATGTTTAACATCCGCCTGAACAGGCAGTCAGGACTTCTTGTGTTTACAGCTCATTTAATGCATGGCACCTCTGGCATTGCAGCCATCCCCAAACACTGCATTGGAGTGTTAGTCCTGTTTTAGTGTTAGTCTAAACTATGAGCATTGGAGTGTTAGCCTAAACTATGAGCTCCCTTCATGGGCAATGCACCAATAAAGGTATTCAAGGATTGAAACTGTTCTGAGATTTTGCTAAATACCTTAGCAAATAAATGCAATACCTCTGTCAAGGTGACATTGCTGTCACTTCTCAACATCCAATTTTACCTGCAGCCATTTGGCTGTTTGCGCCATTATTTGGCATCATCTCAAGGCTCGCCTACGGACACTCTTTTCTTGTTGGTCTCCCCAACTCTTCCCGCCACAAGCTGCAGATGATCCAGAACTCTGCAGCTCGTGTCCTCTCCTGCACCAGGATCCGTGACCCCATCAACCCCACCCTCATCCTCGCCGGGCTTCAGTGGCTCCCCTTTCCCTCAGAAGATAAAATTCAAAATCCGCATCCTCACCTTCAAGGCCCTCCATGGCCTTGCCCCTCCTACATCTCTGACTTACTGACCCATTATCAACCTGTCTGCTGCCTCCATTTGGTAGCCTGCTCCAGGTCTCCCACCGGACCCGCCCTACCATTGGCGGCTGGGTTTTCACCCTCTCTGCCCCCATTCTTTGGAACTCCATCCCACAATCCTTTTGTCTTGCTCCCTCTCCTGCCTCCTTCAAGGTGCGATTCAAGATCCTCCTTTTTAATCATGCCTTCAACCGCTCTCCTACCCTCTCTGCCCTCCCTCATCCCAACCCTGCCCACCCCCCACGCTCGGGTCCTGATCCCTGACTATTCAGTACCTTGGTACGTCCTCCTGACTTGAAAGGCTCTTTACAAATGTAATTTTGTTGCTGGTGTTTGCTCCTCTGAGTGCTATAATGGATTTCTGCATGTGTCAGACACCTGGCTAACTCGATAAAGTGACATTGATTTGTGTTGATTGCCTTTGGTTAATAACTTTGTATTTTTTAATGTCGCAGTTATCGTTGGTAAGATTTTTGAGAAAATTTCATTCTCAATTTGAGGAAAACAACCACCAGAGGGCATTCCTCATACATGCCTTCATTACATCCAGGCTTGACTATACCAACTCCCTGCTTGTCGGCCTTCTCAACTCTTCCCTCCGCAAGCTGCAGATGAACCTGAACTCTGCAGCTCATGTCCTCTCCCGCACCAAGCTCCGTGACCCCATCCCTCAGAGGATCAAGTTCAAAATTCTCGTCCTCAATTTCAAGGCACTCCACTTTATTTATACTTCACAGTATGTCCTGTGAAGCACTTTCGAGGTCTCGATGATGTGATAATGCGCTATATCAAATGCAAGAAATATTATGATTATTATAAGTTAGTGCAGCTGCAATGAAAGCTGCATTTTATCTTGTCCTGTGAACCCACATTGTAGAATATGAAGTGCCCAAATAATAATAAAAATAATCCCTGCATTTAATATAGAGCCTTAACATATCGTTGAGATAGCTGAAAGTGCTTCACAGAATATACTGTAAGGTGAATTGACTCTATATTTTGTGGGTGAAAAATGGCAGCCATCGCGCACAGCAGTGTCCCACAGTCAGTCATGGATTGAATAATATGTGCATGAAAGATCATGGTCCACACTAGATGGCGTATCATTATGATCATGGATTGGAAGGTTTAGCAGTCCCATATCTTGGGATGGGATGCTCTCTCTATTAAATGTGGCTTCTTGGCATGGTATGTCCTGTGCTTGTGTTTGTTAATAAAACATTGACCTTCATAACGCAGACCACGAATAGTTATGCTTTCATTGGTTTACAGCTACATGTGTTTGATTGACAGAGTATCTGGTGATGGCTGAATACCTCCAGGCCCAAACTGCTTGTGGCGCACACAGGTGGTCACTGGGGTGTGAGGATTGCCTCTGGGGAGGTTAAAGTGAGGACCTCCATAGAAACCCCTCTCTTCCTTCTATTCCCAAGAATGTTGCTACGAAAAGCAAACATATGAGCAGTCAAACTTTTCAGCTTTGTGGTGCCCCTGTTTTTGAGATGATGTGCGATGGCATAGATCTGTTTGAAAAGGGTTCTGTCTTCAGCATTGTGCTGTATTGGTCTTACTTTTGCACTTGCCTTCATCTGTTCTCACCTGGCAAACGGGCATCTTACTTTGGCTGGTACTGTTGACCACTGGGTGGAGTGTGACCTGGAGCCAGCCCATGGCCCCTGAACGATGCTAGTGGTGTACGCTAGTGTGGAGTCCTGTAACGTAGTGGTTAGAGCACTCACCTCCTAAGTGAGTGGAACTGGGTTTGATTCCCAGACAGGGCGAAACTTTGGGCAAGTTTCCTTACTCCACACACCTCTGTTCACCTGTAGTAAGTAGGAACCCGGTTGTAAGACGATTGGTGGATCGCTTTTCCGGGGGTAATAATCCCTTCCAAAAAATAAATAAATCATAATAATTTGGTCACTTAATCCATGGGACACTGCTGTGTGCGCAACTGGCTGCTACATTTCGCCCACAAAATATACAGTCAATTCACTTTACAGTATATTCTGTGAAGTGCTTTGAGACGTCTCGAAGGTATGATAAAGTGCTATATCAAATGCCAAGAATATTATTAGTATAATCCCAAAGTCTTGTGGCCAGAGCGACAAAGGTTTGTGACTCAGGTCCTGCCCCTCTGCCTCCTCAGTTTCCTTGGCCATATCCTGGTTACACAAATATAATCCTTTTGTGTGAGGCTATCTCCTGTTGCACTGGACATGTACATGAGGCAGAGCATCAGGCACCAAAGTCTTTATGTGGAAATGGCTTCTGAATGCCTAGGATGCTGCTGTAATTCTCAGAAACTTCCAGAGACTAACACTCATAAAATGCAATACATTAAATTCTCGGTAACTCGCCACTCCACAGGGAAAGGGATCAGAAAGCGAATTATCAGGAGAGCACATAAATAAACACAGCTGGAACATTGACCGCATGATGCCTGAATTGGTATTGATAAGTTAAGCCAGGGTCGAGTTATCAGGAGTTTACTGTATTCCTTCATTAAAGTTCTGACAAATCTCTCCCTACACCCCCCCGTACCCCCAAAACTCCTGCCTCCCCTCCTGTGATACTATTAATCACGCTTGGTTTCATTTGAAGTACATATACAAGCGTTGTATTAAAACTACACATAAATATGACCACAAAGTGCATTGGGGGCATTACGCAGAGTGAATGGAATGACAGGAAATTCCACAGTCTGCATCAGTATGCAAGTAGTATAAAGAAATAATGATGTGGCTTTGAGAAGCCAGTGTTTGGTACTTGCAACTGAGTATGATGATATTCACGCTCACGAGAACTCACTCAAAAGTTAGTGATTGGCTTGATACCGTAGGCTATTTGCAAAAGTAAATAGCAAGTAGAAACCACAAACTACTTACAAAGCAATTCTTATACAGTATGTTCAGAGAAATCACTGCTGTGGTTGCTGTTATTAAACTGATATTAAAATGATTAATAAACCAGTATATAATAATAAATTTACCCCCAACTTCAAACATATTTTTATTGGGACTTGCTTGGCATAGACTAGTATGTTGTCTATGTTTGACTAATACAGTATGTATAGACAAACATTCACTTTCGCCTCAAATCGATTTTTGCTTTGTAAAATGCTTTTAGGTTTTTTTTTACATGGAAAACACTTTGTATAAATGCATATTATCTAATGCATATGTCTCTAGACACTGTATCACAAATAATCCATTGCAGTAATAATGTACAGTATGAAAAATGCCTTAGGCCTTCTATATTACCGCTGATTATAATTTAACCTGTTACCACATCTTCCAAATGCCGGTGCATTGCAGGAAGTCGTTCAACAGTTTCCTTGCCAGCATTAAAACAGCATGAATAAATTACTGACTTCTAAATCATTTTTCCAGATATCAAGTACCAAATATGGAACCAGATACAAGCTACAGTATATACTTCCATAGTTCCTGTCTTTCCAAGTAGACGTTCAAAATTCCATGGCACTATTTGAAAATAGAAGGGAATTTATCCCAATGTCCCGGCCAACAATTCCACAGATAAAATTGTTCACTCACTTCCTGGCTGTTTGTGGGTCTGTGAACATATTGGCTACATTCACCTACAAAATACACAGTCATTGGAATTTACCGTAAATCCTGTAAAGTGCTTTGAGATGTCTCGATAATATGATAAGGCACTAAATCAACTGCAAGGATTATTATTAAGTAACAAACCTTCACTTACATTTTAGTGTCTTTCATATTTAAAACTTCCCAAGTACAATTATATTTTGTATTGGAAATTAAGTGAATGTTCTACAGGCAAATGTGGCAGCTAATATGTGTCAAAGGTGTCTCAAGTTATGAGATGAGTAGCCAATTCACTGTTATTTACACTGTATTTTACAGACTTCTACCTTTCTTTTGAACATTTAAGTTTTAGTGTAGTCTTTGCTGCACTCCAGGAGGACTTTTAACATTTGAGACCATTTTGCCCATTGAATAGATTACATTTTAAAGTGTTTCTGCTTACCAGCCCTTCTCCCAAGTTACTAGTTTTTCTTCTATTCCCTGTGGATTTCTGCTACTGGCGATTTTGGGGAATTAGATTCTGGTTCATGGGATCCAAATCTCTGGGTTTCTGATGATTTCAAACTTGAGATTCAGAGAACTGGAAAAATAGAAAAAAAAGACTGAAATCAAATTACACCCATCTCAGCTGTGTCAAAGATAAATTCAAAGACCTGATGCTTGTTATTTCTCATATAATAATGAGCTGTAAATCTCCTCCTTCAAAGGATTCTAAAACACCTGTTATCCAGTTGAACTGGATTGTTGAAGCTGTTGAAATCTTGTATGTTTCTTTGGAAAATATTGGACCAGAACTTTTTATCCTTTCCTTCCGCAACCTTAGGAAGAGGTTCACGAACTCTTCAGATTCTTCAGATGTTAAACTGAGGTCCTGTCTGCTTGTTCAGGTCGACATTAAAAATTCCTTGGGACATCCTTCCAACGTGAAAGACACTATGCAAGTGCAATTTGTTGTTGGTGGTGGTGGTCCTATGGCACTATTCGAGAAGGGAGTTTCTCCTGGTGTCTTGGTCAACAATCCTCTATATACAAGAAATGGTCATTCACTTCCTGGCTATTTGAGGGATATTGCTTTGCACAAATAATAATAATAATAATTGCTGCATTTGATATATCACCTTATCACGTCTTTGAGACGTCTCAAATTGGCTGATGTGTTTGCCTGCAAATACACATCCCGAGAAAGCACATTGAGACTTTGTTCCATAGATAGTCACGAAATGAACGATGAACTTATCTGGGGGATTGTTGGCTAGGACACTATTTATTGTAAACACCCTTTTCTTTTTGATAGTACCTTTGGAAGTTTTAATCCACTTGAACCGGCACATTGGACCTCATTTTAATGTCTCTTTCGAAGGATAGCACCTCTGATAATGCAACACCCTCCCAGCTTTGCACCGAAATGTCAGCCGAAACAAGGGACTGAGCTCAAAGTCACACTGTTTGATCTCACAAACGTCTGACTCAAAGGTGAGAGTGCTAACCACTGAGCCAGACTGACACAAGCCTGACAAACATCAGCACAATGTGGACCAGTAATTCCTTTCAGATGACATCATCTTATATGGGCATAACCAAAATGCTTCTATTTCTCAAGATCACTTAAAAAAAACTTATTTACGAACCTCACAGCATCTTTGTATTAAACAAGAACAACAACAACAAAATTATATTTGTAAAGCGCCTTTCACGTCAGGAGGACGTCCCAAGGCGCTGGACAGAGTACAGCATTTCAGACCTGAGCTGGGTTCAGTGGGGGGTAAGGGAGGGGAGGGGAAGGGGGGTGACCGATGGCGTGGTCGAAGAGGAGGATTTTGAGGCGGGACTTGAAGGAGGCTAAGGAGGAGGCGAGGCGGAGTGACTGGGGATGGAATTCCAGAGGTTGACAGCAGGGTGGCTGAAGGCTCTCCCACCAATGGTGGGGCCGGTGGGTCAGGGGACGTGGAGCAGGTCAGAGCCGGCTGAGCGGAGGAAACGGACGGGTTGGTAGGGGGTTAGGAAGTCGCAGAGGTAGAGTGGGGCGAGGCCATGGAGGGCTTTGTATGTGAGGACCAGGATCTTGAACTGGATCCTCTGAAGGATAGGGAGCCAATGAAGTTGGGTGAGAGTGGGGGAGATGGGGTCACGGAGTTTGGTGCGGGAGAGGACATGGGCTGCAGAGTTCTGGATTATCTGCAGCCTGTGGAAGGAGGAGTTGAGAAGGCCGACAAACAGGGCGTTTTCATAGTCGAGCCTGGAGGTGATGAAGGCATGAACAGGAGTTTCAGTGGCCTGAGGGGTGAGGTAGTGACAGAGTCAGGCAATGTTACGGAGGTGAGGGAAGGCAGAACGGGTCATGGCTTGAATGTGGGGGAGAAAAGACAGTTGAGGGTCGAACAAGACACCGAGGTTCCTGACTGGCTTGCTGAGTTAAAATGTGCAACCATGGAGGTTGATGTTGATGTTGCCAGAGCCTGAGATGCTAATGCCAATCAGGGGGACTTCAGTCTTGTTCACATTCAACTGTAGAAAATTTACCCTCATCCAGGACTTGATGTCCGACAGGCAGTCTGTCAGGACAGCAGTGGTCCTGGAGTTGGGGGTGGAGGCAGAAAGATAGAGTTGGGTGTCATCCGCATACATATGGAAGTTGACCCCATGTCTGTGGCTGATGTCACCAAGGGGGAGCATGTAGATATTAAAGAGGAGAGGGCCAAGGACAGAGCTCTGGGGGACACAGACGTGACAGTGCGGGGACTGGAGGAGAAACCGTTAGAGGCAACAAAGTGGAGACAGTGAGAGAAATAGGAATCGAAAGGGCAGGTCCACAAAGATCGAGTAAAGCGGAGAGGTGGTGTATGAGGATGGAGTGGTCGACAGTGTCAAAGGCGGCAGAGAGGTCGAGGAGGACAAAGAGGCAGAGGGAACCCTGATCACAGATGTTCAGAATGTCATTAGTGACTTTGACCGGGGCTGTTTCCGTGCTGTGGGCAGCGCGGAAGCCGGATCGGAGGGGTTCAAAGAGGGAATAACGAGAGAGAAAGGAGCGAAGCATTCTAATTTCAAGATTTTTCATGTGTTCTTTAACGGAGCCAGGAATGCATTTTATAGCAGTATAGAAATAATTAAATTTCTTTCATAATTAAATTTGTCTTACTTAACACACAAGGGTAAAAAGTAAGTTTCAGGAAGCATCTATACACGTTTTATAAAATCCTTGTATAGAGAACCTGCTGAGCAAGGGATGTTGACGTTTAAACAAAAATGTGCTTGAAATACCAGTTAAGAATGATCATCAATTTCTGCCACATATTTACACATTGAATGAATGTCGCATAATCTGCTCCACATGTCTTAAATAAGCATCATAAAATGTTGGCTCAGAGTGCTTAGAAATAAGTTTTTCTCTCTGCCTCTGCCTCTCCCCAATTCAATCCATTGTTCCTGTATTAAATCAAATGTTATTTTGGCAAGAATGAGTTTATCTTGCTTAAAAAGGTCAACCTTTTTAACATGAAGAGTTATAGTTGGTGTACCCTAGACAAATGGATTATTTAGTGCTTTTGCTTCTGAAATGAAAGCAAATGCTTTTTCTGTCAGTCAGAAATTTTACAACAATATTTCAAATATCCGGGGTAGTTTTGGAACCATTGAGTAGTTTTGGAATAGCTATTGGAACCCCATCTTTCTGTGTTGAACCCGGAATCTAACCCTGTGTAAAAATGATGAAGTCACTGTCAGATCGTTTAAAAGACTATGATTGTCTTGGAATATTTCTTGTGAGGAATCTGCATTAATTCAAGCTGGATTTGGACACTAAGGTACAGTGTTTACAGTGGCTCAACTTTAAATACTGTCACTTTCTCCTCCGAGTCAAAAGATCGGGGGTTCAAGCCCCACGTCAGGACTTTGAACTAAATTGACACTCCAATGTGTTGCTGAAGGGAGTCTATACTTTGCCGCCATGTAGATGAGATGTGAAACCAAGTTCATGTTTGCCTGTTTAGTTGGACGTTAAAGATTCCATGGCACTATTTGAAAGCAGAAAGAAGTTTCTCTCTGGTATCCTGGCCAAAATTGGTCATTCACCCCATGGCTGTTTGTGGGAATTGCAATTGACTGCCAATTTCACCCACAAAAACACAGTCACACTACTTTACAGCAAATCCTGTGAAATGCTTTGATACGTCCTGCCAATGTGAAAGGCGCTATATCAAATGCAAGTAACTGAGATTTGTGGAGACGTTATTATTTATTCACATTATGCTTATTATTCTTCTCCCCAGGTAGTTCTCTCTATCGGCTTTTGTTTTGCAAAGCTAGATTTCATTCTCTTCCAATAACCTCTTCAGTATGTTCAATTTTCCACCCATAGGGAATAACAGATTCATCTAATTGCCCCAAACAAGCAGGTTTTCCATTTTCACTCAACAGGAAACTGCAATCTTTCCCTAAAATTAAGTTCTCTATTCTGAGTATCTTTGACTGGTATGTAGGGTATTCTGCTTGTTTTAAGATGAATCAATAGTTAAGGCTTTGATGTGTTTCTTGGAACTTACTCCCTCCTTTTTTCACCCCCCTGATTTCTCAGTAAAGTTCAGTTGGTTCCCAGACTACATGATGAGCTCAGTCCTTATTGGTTTGGCATTACTGTTTACAACAAGAGTGCAATAAAAACTCTGAAATAGCTAGGTTCACTAATTCAGCTGGGGTGTCATGCACAGTTAGTGAGAAAGGTTGAAGACAGTTCAGTTAACACGTTGGCTGTTAGTTAATAGCCAATCTGTCACAGCTCTTGTGAGTTGGAAATTGAGATTGGGATTGGTATAAATTTAGAAACCTATTGCAGTCCTGTTACCTTGGCTTGGAGCAGTGCTTGTCAGTGGCACATGAAACCTTTACTTTGCAACATTATAATAATCCTTGCATTTGATGTGGCACCATTCACATTGGGAACATGTCTCAAAACACTTCACTATCTTTTACTTTAAGTTATAAAGTTTAGGCAATAAAACTGATGTGACTATCAATACTTACTGCAGTAATAATTTCGCTATTTCCTCTGCCCACCCTCTTCATGACCCCACCCAGCTAGGGTGCCCAACCACCAATGTGAAGTGTTTTAAGACATCCTCATGATGAGAAAGGAGCTGTATGAATGTATACTGTATAAATAATAATCCTTGCATTTGATATAGCACCCTTGGGATACTGCTATGCGCAATTGGCTGTTGTGTTTCGCCCACAAAATACAGTCAATTCATTTTGTTATATCAAATGCAAGGATTATTATTATTATTAATATAACTATTATTAATACCTGCCATTATTGGTTAAAACATTTAGTTTTCATATATTTTTCAGGCTGGAGGTTTTTCCAATTTTTTTCTTCCAAGTAGTAATATTAATAATTCCTACTTTTTTTTATAACACCTTTCATGTCAGGAGGACATCTCAAAGTGACTCACAGGATATACTGTAAAGTGTAGTGACTGCATTTTGCAGCCACTTTGAACATAACATTGTCACCCCAAACAGCCATCAAATGAATGACCAATTCTATTTGGCAGATTCTTGGCCAGAACACTGTGAGAAACT